TTGATTGTTCGAAATAAAGTCATCAAACTTGGTATTAAGACTGCGGATCTCGTCAGCTATTCCGCTACTGCTGTTGGATTGAAGATTTGCGTCACATTTGGAACAAATATAATTGTTGAATTTTATTGCTCGCAATGCAGCCAATTCCTTAGTACCAACGTTGGCACAATGAGAATGTAGCCAGTTGGAGCACAGGCGACACATAATGCTTCCTTGAGTCTTGGTAATAGAATCGCAACAAATACCACACTTTTCTGACTTCGACATCTTTGAAATAATCAGGCAATCCAAACAACAACAACCACAGCGAAGGAACAGCACGCAAAGCAGAATAAAAAACAGCGACAACAGTTATAAACCAATAAAAAGCAAACAGTGATGATTCAGCAATAATCCACCTTGATAGGACAATGTTTAGCTCGAATTATTGGGAAATCCAACTGAGTTCCTTGAAATTCTTCACAACCTCGAAGTAAATTTTAAAATTGAGCTGCAAACAGTAAGGTATGGCGGCAATTATAAATAGAATCCAAAAAATTTAGCGATTGATCAGCTGCAGTGAAATAAACACGACTACTCAGGCATAGCGTTGCCAGATTCATATTTTATGTAAACGATTTTTGACTAGCACATGATGTCAAAATTCATTTGGGCCACTGTAAGTCAGGCGAGCAAGAATATGCATATATGTATATTATCTTTGTGTACGTTCATCGTCGCGACTAATATTATAATTATTGACAAATACAAGGCAAATGTGTAGCAGAATCAGAATTTCATTAAACTTGACCTTTAAATGTTCAGTAGTTTCATCTCGTTTTCGTGTAATCTTCCATAGGCCTGCCTGGCCACCATTCAACAGGGTTTTCTTTTGTTTTCTCCCCCTTCTCATTCTCTCTCTCTCTCTCACTCTCACATCTATAATATGCATGACGGTCGTACACTAAAGTCTCATATCTTTTGCCACAGTCGTAAAACACGAATCTAAAATTAAAAAAATAATAATATTCAACTTTTCCGAACGCGAAAATGTCAAAAGCTTTTCATTTTTAGTATTTTTCGATATTTGCGAACGACAACAACATTAACTCAATAGACTGATTTTGAAATTCGTTCAAATGTAGTGATTATCAATTGCGCGGTACCTTGAATTTCAGTTTTACGACTCAGAATCTGTCGCGACGCCTCTAACCAGAAGGGGCCTTCGGACGAATGGGAATGAAAAATTGAGAAATGCACGAAAGTAACCGACCGTACATATGTATATGTAAACGAGGCCACCACTCTTGTAAGAGGTGTTCGTCCTACCACCGATATACATTTGTGCGACAAAAATACTTATAAATATACGATTTGTTTGTACTAAACTGGTACAAATATTGGAATCTTTTTGAAAAGAAAAAGAAATATTGGAATTCCAAGTGAATAAAAAGTGACGTGGTATCGTGTTATGATATAGGATTTTTATATAGACCGAAAAAGATGGGCGATTTATCAAGAATGTGGTTTCGGCTGAAAGGCAGTGGCTCCTCGTCTGAGGATCCAAATGCTAACAACAACACACAGAGCAATCTGAACGCAGTAGGCGGGAAACAAAACGACGATGCGTCATCAACATTTGAGAAATTCCGTCGTGCTAGTTTTCGGCGCAAGTCCACAACTCCCAGCCCCAGTAGTGGAAAGCGATCGAGTTCACCGAAATTTCTTTCAAAGCAGCAGAAGTCCTACTCCTTAGACGAATGTGATGAAATGGAGGAAAAGCAAACAACACCCCAGTCATTTACAGGAGACAAATTGAATGTTGCGCTATCGGAAAAGTCTGGACATTTAGGCTCAGTTCCATTGAGTGATGTCAAATCAAAGAATTCATCTAAGAAATCATCTTTGAGAGCCGTCAAGAACTCAGAGGCTGGAAAAAAGAAATTTTATAAGAACTTTTGCAATTCCAGCAACCAAAAATTAGCACCTGCCTGCGAAGAGCTGACAGAGGAGAAGAACATGCCCAAGGCGTCATTAGGCAGTGTAATGATATTTCCGCCGAACAGTACCGCTCTGCCAGTATCGCTCTTGGCTGAAGATGACAATGACGATATCGATGACGACACTGAATCAGATGATGATGTCGAGCACTGTAATATGCCATGTCTGATAATGGAGGACAATTTACCACCTGCTGGTAAGGAAAAAATTCTGCTCACCGATCGCAAGTTCCGCAACAATCGCATTGAAAAGAGCTCTTCGAAAACGAAAATTGGCGACTTGGAAAAGAAAGAAAGTATAAAGCGATCGCGGAGTAGTCGCAGAGTATATCAACCGCCGACAGTTTTGGCCGATGACAATAAGGGCTCTAAGAAATGCTTGAAAGAGTCCAAGGAATCCAAAAAAGCACCTCGTTCCCAGGGAAATTTGAATTTCCAAGCCCTAGTTAAGTTTGTGGTTAACAACAAGAAATTTTTGAGCAGTGACGATTTTAAGCTAATTCGTCGCCGATCAATATCGGAAGCAGCTTCCGCTGTGATACAGGTAGCCGCAACGCGCAAACCTCTCCCAATTGCTTTAAAGTACTGCAATCACGACAGCGTTGTCGCTAAAAGCCCTAAAATAAATGATTACAAGGGAGAGCGTAATGTGGTACTGCTGAAGAATCAGCCACTAGATAACTCTTTAGCTGAACAATCTCCGAACAATAACAACAGCAAGTACAACAATGAGAACAATGCAACTACTAAATTAGACCATCTTAATAAGCCACCCGTCAAGGGAAGAAAGTCGTCGTCATCAATATCACATGGCTCCATATCCTCCTCGCAATCAGGGGAATCGAACAGATCATCGGACACAACCAATCTAAAAAAGGTGAAGCGTAACAGCTCAAACAGCAGCAAAAGCAGTGGTAATTTCGAAGATGAAGCCTTCTATTCGTGCGATGAACTGGAAGAACAACGTCTGCACGACGAGCACGACCAGCAACCGGGTGGCTCCAATACGATGTCCCAATTCAAGCGTAAGCCACCTTCCCCTTCGCTGACGTCTAGAGTAGCGGCCAAGATTAATGAAACAACTACCAATTACAAAAATCGCAAGGCAGCCAACAAAAATAATAGAAAACGCAAAAACCTTACCGCAGTTGACTGCGACTCCATAGCCGGTACAAAGCCCGAAATATTTCGGCAATTAAGCGTTGGTGAGCAATCTTATGAGCGAAAAATCCACTGTTAATATGTTTCTTTGTCAAATGGGCCAAGGGGAGGGTGGGGTCTGTTGTACCCCCTTGATCGCCTGAATCGATTTCCATCTGATAGGTAGAGATATTTCTCGTACCACATACCATCTGTTTTAATAGAACATAATCGCGTGATCCAAAATGCACGGGTTTGACATCAAATTGGAAGGGATCGTACATAGGAACTCATGACCATATGAGAGGTTAGACTTAAGATGAGAATATATGAGGATTTTTATCTGGCATAATTCAACAATCGCCTGGATTTTTCGCAAAAAGACAACAGATTTTGGGTTAACCATGTTGAAGTACCCTTTGCATTTATTCATTTTGTCCGGGAAGATCTTACACATTTGGTGCATTCTTCTACAAAAAAGGGTTTCGCGGTATAATAGTAGAGGGAGTACCAAGTTCGCATAAAATGTTGCGAGTAATGGTAGAATAACGGGTGACAGGTTTTCGGTTAGAAATCAATAAAAGATATTGATGGAAGGAATTGAACTTTACACAGACCCTATTCTTAAATCTGTCATCCGGGTTTCAGTGAATGTACAATTTGTAAATGTACCCTTTTTGGAATTATTATACCCCACATCTCGATGTGGGATTTGCCTCAACATACAAACGTATAAGAATTCATGTCACGTAGAGCCAAGTCGACTTGCTATGTCCGTCCTTTTAATCCTTTTAATAACGCTGCAGGTAGCACTACTGCTGATCTCGCCACGCAGGCACCCTATTCATTTTGTTGATGATCGGATAATACTTTGCGCCATAAATAATTGTCAAGCAAATGAGCGAATCACTGTTTAATTTAAAAACAAAATGCAAATAAAATATTTTTCGACATCGATTGAGATACTAGGTCCCTTATCCTTGCATCAATTCAAACAAATATTTTACTAAAAAAACAAACCTAATTGAGAAGAAGCATTTTTTCTATCATCAGGAACAATTCTCTACAAGTCATTGAAAAAAAAAATTTTTAAAAAAGATAAAAACCAAGGAACCAAAAAATGGTGTAGCATTTTACACATCCGTTACAAGGGATTCAAATCAGCTGGTCTTTGCTGGTTCTTTCTATCAATTGTAGTATGACCTGGACAAATATGGAAAAATGCCAGCGTTAAGAAGAAGAGGATTTCTAATTTAGAACGATAAATTATGAATTTGATTGTTGACGTCTGTTTGTGTTAACATCTCTTATTTTGTCGGGTATCACACAGTCAACTCTGTCCCACTATAGTCCTTTTTTACTTGATCGTACTTTGCAGTACAAATAGTAACCTTTTGGAAAGAAGAAGTGTCGCACAGTCAACTCTGTCCCACTATAGTCCTTTTTTACTTGATCGTACTTTGCAGTACAAAGAGTAACCTTTTGGAAAAAAGAAGTGTCGCCTAGTCAAATTCATTGTCTTTGTGCCAAAAAAAACTAAGTCTTTCGAATATGTAGTAAATTGAGGTAGGAAAATTTTACAAATTGTAAAATTGAATGCTTATACAAGGATTGCATAAAAACTTTTGGAATAAGAGTGTACTCTCCTAATTTACATTGTCATTTTGTGGGCGAGACAGCTGAGCTATACGCCTGCCCTCGCTTCTAAGCCACTTCTCATACCCATATCCACAAAATAACACAAATGTTCATAGGAAGATGTGCAGAAGAAATCTACTTTGATTTACGAGACTTTTTTATAGCTCATCTTTGAATTACGTTGAGTTTTTATTTTGTTGTTGTTTTGATATTCAATTGTTTTTTTTTTTTTTTCATTTGTAGAACGCTTGAACTCCACGTCAATTCAAAGACAGCCTTCAGACCGCAGGACGGATGCCACAAATATTTCCATTCGATCCAATGGGAATACATCAGCCCACTTGAATGTTAGCGACCTACAGTCTTCATTTAATGCTGGCGACTTAAGCTTGGGCGCTGTCGGAGGCTCGGCAGGACTCGCTTCGAGCACAGATGTTGGTCAAACAGCCATTGGAGCCGTGTCCACAAGTGGCGCTGCTGGAGTTGCGTCCTCAGCTGGTACATCGGGTGCCTTATCCGCTCTCAACAGTGTGAATGCGCAGGACGCAAATGAGAGCAACATATTACGTAGGGAACGGTAAGCATGGCATGAAATATATCATCCCTCTTTCTTTGATCGCCCTCTAAAATGTATTCTTCTTCCAGTTTACAACAACAGCATAACCAAAACAAAAGTGCCCCTGTCTCTGTCAATCGTTCAGAATCGTATAAAGAACGACTATCGCACAAAAGAAACCGAAGCCAGCGCAAGACTTCGGATCCCAATTTGACTTCGAAACCAAAGTAAGTTGAGAAATATTTTTTTTTTTTTGACCTAAAAGACTAAGATAGATTATGATTTTGGAAATGTCGGCTAATTTTTACGCCTAATTACCCGAACTGCTGTATTGTGCTGCAGCCCTGACCTAAGCTATGAATTGTATGCTATTTTCCAGCCTTTCTTTGACTTTCACTCGGGCTGCCTCAAGCCAAATCATTTATGCGTCAGCACTTTTCAAAATTGGTAGAAAATTGTATTTTTGAATAAACATTGCGGCTGGGTCAGTTAAAACTATATTTGCCTCTGAATTTCCACATGAAAGCTTCCAAAGCGTATGAAAAGCTTTTGTGACTTTCTCCCTTTTTCTCTTTGCCTTCCCAGCCACGATAATCATCAGCGCTAGGAGCACCACAAAGAGACACATTCTTCTTTCCTATTTTACACATCGACACACATAAATATATATATATATATATATACATATATACACACACAAACATACGTAGGAATACTGCTCGTACATTGTTGTGTATAATCGTGTTTGTTTCTAAAGCGGTACGGTGGCATTTGGCAATCGTGGTTTCCCAACAATTCGACGGAAAAGAAATGGTAAATTCAGTCAGTCAGTATGAACACTGTTCGCGCAGCTTTCACAACATTCTTTTGTTTAGATTTTCGGCAGGAATTGTTCTTCGTTTCGTTTATCTAGTAGTGAATGTGCGTGCATCTAAATTTGCGTTTATCATTCCGCGCCAGACGCATCGTAGAACTTCCAGTTTGCCATCAAATGTATGCTTGTATGAACGCTTAATTAAATATGAATATATCCGTGCAACATACGGATCCGTATTAGGGTAGTGTGAAGATCATTTGTGAAACCGTCCGACCGATGAAGTAACCAAGAGAAAAATAAGTGAAGAATTCGAATATTTGGATTTCAAAATGTAATTCTAAATGCATAATACCAAACAACATTTTTAAATCAGGAACATTTTGAGTATCAAATTGAGTGAAGCCCATAGCCGATCCATTACTAAATTAAAAAAAAAGTGATCAATGTAATGCCGTCAGACACGTTTTGATGGGATATAAAGAATCGCCTCCAGCAAAGTACAATGAATGATTGAACTTCCTTTGGCGACATCTCAGTTTGCCTGTAGCAATTTGCCTTTGCTGGCACTATAATTCATTTTTGGACAACTCTTGCCTGGCCCAAAGACTGGAAAATTAGTTGGCTTCACAAGGAGTTTACATATGTGCAAAGCAAATCTTATTATTGTTGTGTATTCCACCCTGTACACATTTTTATATGGATCTCCTCATATTTAATTGCTTTTACTTGGCCACATGAAGGCACGTAAGCGATATTTAAGACTACTGCCTCATTGTAAGTGATGAGTATATGCAGTTTTACTGCATTTTCGATTTGATGCAACGAAAGGAAAATTGTCACGACAAAATGTTAGATCCTAAAACGTAGCCTTAGTCAAGTTACCACACGTTATTCCGTTTTAGTTACAACGATATTGGAATGTATGTATGTATGCACCGAATAATAGGAAAATTAGAGGCATGTGCAAGGTTTGCAATCTTAGAAGAAATAATAAGAATACATATATTTGTGTGCGCGCGTGTGTTTGTGTATGTGGCAAACAAACACGTATATGTATATTTATTTATTTATTTATTTATTTATTTATTTATTTATGATGTAGTGCATTGTTGTGCTGGCGACCTACAAACACCATATGAGAGCATATTGTGTACCTGTTCCGAACCGTGGAGGAAAAAACATTTAATGTTATAGAGCCCACACTTTTATAATAAACAAATGCCAGCCGCCACTATACGGCTGTGGTCTAAACATATTGCAATTATTGTTAAAAAGAAATGAATGAATAACATTTTGTGAAATCTTGAATGAAAAGTACGAGTACGATTTTCTTAATTTACGATCTATTCCAGAATTCCATCAGATCATGATGCATATAGGCTAACATGTCTTTATCAATAGGATTACAGTAGACTCCGTGTAACAGTAGATTGAGTTCACACAGATTATATAATTGAATCTTTGGATATCTAAAAATATCGGAAAAATCAGACGTGTGGTTACTAGAAATTAACTATTTTTGGGTAACAATGTTGGATAAGAAACCAAAAAAAAAAAAAGTCGTTGCGTCTGGGCCGTCACTTGTGTGTGTGCGGTATGTGCATATCACTGTTAATTTCACGCTGTGTGTGCCATCAACAAAAATCATTTGGAATTCGGGCAAAATTATTTGTATTTGTTGCCGGAAAGTGAATTGCGCACTTATTGTTCGTCAATAACTTGCGCAATATATGTGTAATGCCCCAGCATCCATCGACATTTGATGGACAGTAAAATTGAAATCAAATCCAAAATCTTGCAACTTTTCATTACTTGCTGAATTCTAAGCAATGCTAGAGCAGATTTGGTTTGTTTTGTGTTTGATTTGTGTTTGAGCGAATTTCCATTCAAGCGTGCAGTGTACGGCGAAGACGACATGAGTAAGATCTAAGCTACGGGGAAATTTCCATGAGGTTCCAAATCATACGCTGAAAAGTGTTTCGCTCTTAATAAATACAGCTATTGATTACCAAGGAATTGTTTGAGCAGATGTCTTGCACAACACTTTCAATCAATTAGCTAGCAATAAATTGAATTGTGGAAGATGTCTCTATTGCATCATGGTCTAGGCAATCAAACGCAAATAAAATATTGTTTGCAAGGATAATAAAGTTTTCCATTTAATCGATGGCACAATGTGGGCCTGGTCCTCCATTGGATTGGTGGCATACTCTAAGAGCATATGTATGCGTGCGAAAACTTTCATTTGCGTGGTATCTATTGCATCCAATATCAAACAGTCGAAAGTAATTGAATATGAATAGAATCAGTTAGTTAAGAGCTAGATAGAGTCGCCTCTACGTTATCCACCTGTATTCACCTGTGTGTGTGTGTTCGCCACCCGAGGCCATTGGCAAGTGGTGATTCCTTTGAAAGGGTCGACAAACATTTAAAGAAACGTCACACGCAGAGTGTATTGCAGAATATAAAAACACACACACACACTATAGCGAGGTGTGGCTTTAATTGTGTGGCGGCAGATTATTAGAACGGATGTTATGTATTTCTTCAGTCGGAAGGAGTGTATCATAAACTGTCCGCCGCAAATCCCAGGACCGTTCGTGCTGAATTTTCCGCTGACGGTTAGGGGTTTTGGTACCACTAGAACAATGGCATGATATCATCACAATAGCTGCGATCGAAACAAGCCTGGGGAGGCAACAGCCATTTTTATGGTGTTTACAAATGAAATGGTATGACACCACCAATTTGGTCTTCTCTGTTTGTAGACAACGCAAATGTCGAAAGTGGAAAGTGCGCAAACATGTCAACACACAAGGTCACCCATAAGAGTTTCTTGTTACGTTTTGTATCAGACTAGTAGTACGGCAGGTGAATTGGATAGCTGATTACATTAATGTGGCGCAACTGTTCCTCTTTGGTTTGTCCAGAAGAGTTGTCCTCCTCCGATTTCAGATCCTGTGCACTCAGTTCTTTATTTATAATTTCCGGAATTCCGCTATTTGCCTCTTAGTTTTAGCATTCGTGTGTTTATGTCGGGTAAGCCTTGGTCATGCATCCGTCGTAGCACTGATAGGAGCAGCATTTGTGGATTTGTTTAGTTTCGCGTAATACGTAGTGCAGTCGTCAACTATCAGTGTTCCATGTCACAACCCGTTACATGAACAATGAAAAGCAAAATTCGTTATACCCGCAGCAAGAGCTTCAGAGAAATGCTGGGCTACAACCAAGAAAGGTACATTGCAGATGTATTCAGTGTGCAAATTGTGAATGGCATCATCTTTCAAATGACTACTCAGTGTTAATACTTGCAACTTTTGTTTTTGTTTCCAGCGATGATCAACCCGACTTGGGTCTTTCCAATGCAAACTTTACGACAAGCTCAAATTCTAGTCTTTCGTCGGGAGGTGGGTCTGACAGCCCGTCCACTTCGATGGAACAAATGGGTGGCGTCGGAGCCAACATATCAGCCAGTGGCGCTATGCCCATGCACCAGCATCACCCACATCATCAGCACAGCCATCAGGATTCATTCCATGGCAGTATTGGTGGTTCATCCAACACTAGTTTCCTGGGTGGATCAGTGGCGGGAAGTCAGATGACTCGACACTGGAACGTGGACAGTGACGAGGAGGACGATCTTATAAATGAGTCGGACTGGAGTTCAAACGTGGCCGCAGAAGTACTAGCGGCTCTTACAGATGCAGAAAAAAAGCGACAGGAGATTATTAATGGTGAGCTCTGTGAATGGTAGAGAAAATAACCGATACCAAGACTGAGAATTACTTCCATTTTCAGAAATTTACCAGACTGAACGGAGCCACGTTCGCACATTGAAGCTTTTGGAGGTCCTATTCTTTTATCCGCTGAAGGAAAGCAATTTGCTTTCACAGGACGATTTAGTGCTCCTCTTTCCGCCATCCTTGCTTTCCCTTTGCAATCTCCACGGGGCGTTCGAGCAGAAAATCAAACAGAGACGAATTGACCACTCGTACATTGTAAATAATATTGGTGACATTCTGGCTGGCATGTTCGATGGCATATCGGGGGAAGAGTTGCGAGAGTACGCTGCCCAATTCTGTGCCCGTCAACAAATAGCTTTAGAAGCCCTCAAGGAAAAGCGTCGCAAGAATGAGCAGTTACAAAAATTACTATCGACGGCCGAATCGCACAAAGCCTGTCGTCGTCTGCAATTGAAAGATTTGCTGCCCACGGTTCTGCAGAGACTTACCAAATATCCGCTGCTCTTCGAAAATCTGTACAAAGTGACGGTTCGTGTAATGCCCGAGGACACAATGGAGGCTGAGGCCATTCAGAGAGCTTTGGAGTCATCAAAGAAAATTTTGGTGGACGTAAATCAGGCGGTCAAAACTGCTGAAGATGCTCACAAGTACGTTTAGACGATTTATGTCACTCTTGGCAGCACCAGTAACTAATTTTCGCATTTTATCTTTTGTAGATTACAAAATATCCAGCGCAAATTAGACAAATCAACATTTGACAAAGACGAATTTAAGGTAAGCATGCAACACGTAATTGTGACGATAACTAACCAAAACTCTCCTCGTTTCTAGAATCTGGATTTAACTCAGTATCGCTTGATTCACGATGGCAGTTTGACAATGAAGAAGAATCCCAGCATACAATTGCATGGCTTGTTATTTGAGACAATGATAGTGCTGCTAACGAAACAGGTAATATTTCAAAACAATAACAACGTATCAACGACATTTGTACTAGAGCAATTTTCCCTTTTGTTGTCGTGTTGTAGGACGACAAGTATTCTTTGAAATATTTACATGCAACACGAAGTCCAGACGTGAATAACAAACCGGTCAGTCCCATAATGAGCATTGATTCGGAAACATTGGTGCGTCAAGAAGCAGCCGATAAGAACTCCTTCTTCCTCATTAAGACCAAAACATCACAAATGTTAGAACTGAGAGCACCGAGTAGCTCAGAGTGCAAAACGTAAGTAGCTAAATTTTATTTGAATATACATGTAACCTCTCCGTCCGTATTATGCTCCTGCTGATAATTTCCATATACGAATTTCGAAAACTAGTTGCTCATCATGCTGTTTTGTGTTCTTAGAACTTGTAATAACAACATTATCAAGTTGAATTTGTCACAATCCTATGGAACTTCACTTCATTGTTAGTTTTTTTTTTTTTTTTCAAAGGAATACTACTTTAAAATAGCAGCACTATCTAAAATTCGACGTACTCGGTCGAGGTTTTTCACCACACACTTGTATTTATATCAATGTTATTCCTCAAATGCGTCTAAAATTCGACGTAGCGTACATAAATTAACTTCCCCGCTATGGTGACACTTTTTGTTCGTCCGTATTACCCAAACACGCCAGGTCCATATCATAAATTTAAAATTACATTATGATGATTAACATTCACATTTTTGTATTACTCATTTCTATTTTCAACACACAAAAAAAAGTACGCTATGTCGAATTTTAAGTAACACTGTAATAAAAGGGACACTTATTTGGAACCATTTTATTTATTTAGTTTTTTAAATTAAATATATAAAGGGTTTAATCCAAAAGAAAACTAGTGTTGCGCCGTTGCCATAGCGAGTAGCTGATAATGGTGGATCCTATGTTTTTGAAATCGAGTAGGCAAAATTCCGTCTACTAAATGCCGTCTGTGTTAAGAAAACAGCTGATTTTTAATCAGCTGATGATACTGGATAATACTTAATGAGAAAAAATTTCTCTCTTTACGAATTTGCAAACTCTCAGTAAGGCAAACTGTTAAACCCGCTCTCTTTACTCACTCTCTCTCTCGTCCTGGACTTGAGGGTTATCGAAAAACAGTTTGTAAGAATGTGTTCAAATCATTGCGTTACCGAGTACAACTATTGTCTAATAATTATGTCTTCAGTGGTGGGCTAAGAACACACTAAACTGTTAAAAAGTGAATTTGACTTAAATTATAGTAAAGGCTTTGGCAATAAATTAGTTTTTACCGTTATCTGTTTTCACTGTGTTGTATTATGGTTTATGCATCTCTAATTACGAAAGGAAAGTCTTTGTGAACAATACAATTGCAAAAAGTGGAGTGAATGCCTACGTTCTCTGCCTGCGTTTACTCTCTTCGACTTTACTCACATTTAGCTTTCTTACATGCTCTTTTCAAGCTGTAACACCAACGCTTTCTCTTTGCCATTTTCATTCTCTTAGTCAACACCAACAACACAAGAATATATGTTTGTATGTATTTAATTAGTTTTCGTTCCGAAGAGCTTCGAACTGTGTTCTATTGATTAATGCAGTTTGACATTGGCGTGACGTAAAGACGTTGATATATTTATAAATTCCATATTGGATAGTATTTGGGAAATCATTGCGACGCAAACCTCGCCATAAAAGAGTGATATCTGTGTATATGGCCACATCAGTGCCCGCCGTCTAGCTTTGACTGACTCCAAATACTTTAATGAGTGTGCAGCAGCCTCCTCTGACTCGTGTGGGACCCACAGCACAGTGTGCTAGTATACTGTTGACAATCGGCAAACACACAACGACGCGCCGCGCGCTCCGTAAAGCAATGCTGAGGAACACGCGTATTTTCTATATTATTTGTGTCTCTGTTCCAAATTGTCTAACTTGCTGTGTAAACACTTAATCATCATAATTTTGTTGTTATGCCATTTTCGGTAACAGATGATTGGCTTGTCCGTCTGGTTGTGTTGTTCTAAAAATCCTTGCTAGCCGATGTAAAAGGAAATGATTAGACAAACACACACACACACACACACACGTATATATACATACAATCGGTGGCGTTTGAAAGGTGTGCCGCAATGTCTACCAAATCGGAATGTGTATGTCAAGACTGAAGTGTTTTTATGGATTTCCGAAAATCCATTATTCCCATTTGCTAAAAGTGCTAAAAGCATAAGTGTGATTTTTTTTATCGCGGTTACAAACAAAATGGAAAACAAAAAACAAAACTGTTTAACATTGTATACGGAAGTAATTGCCAACCCTGTTTACAGTTAAGGACGACGGTGCTCAGTGTAGTCAGACCTATTCGATTTTGTGTACATCGATGAAGTGGTGTACCGAACGATGTGTTGTTGTGTGTGTATGTCGACATACCTTTTATTTTGACAAATAATTTGTCAAAGATGTGAAAAGATTTTTGTTGACCGCGCATATGTATCTTTGTTGAATGTGCTTACATAGTAGATTTAAATCAGGTCTTAGTGATTAGGCACGTGAGAGGAGCTCTATTTAAAATTGGATTGATATAGGATTTGAGGAAAAAATTCACAGTTGCACCTATTGTAAGGGTTCCACGGTGGACCAGTTTGTCATGTCATTTATCGTTGTTTTTTCCAAACTATCCCTGGTATATTCTTACCGATATATGTACATATATCGCTCTATATTTTTGTAATGTATGTATGTGTGTTTGTGCATTCAGTGCATAGTGTACCATCCTTGTTATGAGAAGATCGAGCAACAAGTGGATGCGTTTTGTCAAAGCATTCCAATGCATTAAACTGTGACAGAATAAAGGCCTGGAAATGTATTTTACTGTCAGCTATGAACTAGACAGTGCGTCAGCTGACAAGGGAACAATGCCAAAGAAATTGGTCACAATAGGATTGGGGAAAGTTCACGAAGAGTTGTATAAGTACACACAGTTTGTCAACTAAATGTTTGTATGGTTGCAAATTTAGTCCTAACGCTACACTCTTTCCCAACAAATTGTTGCCAATGGGTGTGGGTCTTAGACACTTACGAGCAACCCCTCCAACTCACCGGCAAAAAAAAAAAACTACAATTGACTTTGGCAAACACTCAAAGGCGACTTAGTCGCGGAGTGCATTATTCTAGGTGCTCTTGGGATGCTACGCTTTTTAACAAGTTGAAACATGAAATCATACAAACCTATGGATTTTGTCAAACTGTAAGTTGCACTCAAACCGCAAAAGCGAAAGGCATTTGTCAATGATGATTGAAATACTTGGAGCGCAACCGGTGTAGGAAATCATAATCTCGCTAAAACAACATTTAAAGTCATAGCAAGAGGGGATGTGGGATTCATATCGCTTGTTGAACACATTGTACTGTAATTTGAGAAGATCTGTCATGCTGCTTTTGAATGAAAGCTCGAATATTGAACAAAGCAACAACGACAACAAAGCCAAAACAAAAAAATAAGCACAGTTCAGGGCTGAGCGCACACTGGAAGTGAAAATCTATGAATACGATTTTGTTCCTATTTGTTCGTAGTTTATCCAGATCGACCGCTGGTGCCAACAAGTCGACCTCGCGTAGTCTAGTAGTCTAATTGTTTTGTGGAGATCTAATCCTGAAATGTTTCGTACAGCTGTGGTCAAAATAATATTGATGCTGTGGAATCTACAATTTTGAAAGAAAAAAAAAAAAAAAGAAATAAGTAACAATAGGTCTATTTGATACCTCGAAGGGTAAAGTTTCTCCGTAAGAATGGAATTTGCATTTGCCAATTCACTCTCATTAACTTAACTATGGGTTATCGAACGACATTTTTAATAATTTTTACAAATTATTGGGTTATCGTACATATCTAATAATAATTAGATATAAATCAACATCCAACACTAAAACCATGTTATTTTGACCACAATTGAACGGATTTAATGAATAGGTAAAAACATAAATTGTGAATACAATAGCATCATGTTTTTTTGCATATCTCGTGCATAATGATTTGTAATAGGTCATTATTAACCTCCTTATCTTGAGGTCTGACTCGAAGGGGAATTTTTGAATGACGCATACGTCACACCGTTTGCGACATATACGTGTGGAAAGTATTAGCATTTAAGAGGAAATTTAATTAGAACATCCCAAAACAATATCTGCAATAGTGTCCGGTGGTATAGTAAGAAATTTAGCCATGAACTTCCTGTCTCCCGATGACATATTCAGTGGTGTACGGCGTAAAAGCCTTTGCAATGGTTCCCTACTGACGCTCACTACCAAACACAACGGAGAGAACAATAGTGCCCCATCTACCAAAAGTAAAAAGGAAAGACGTCGAGGTAGTTTCAATGTACCAGCACCAGATACTGAAGTTGCGAAGGAGAACGGCGGTAGGAGAGCTTCTCTGGTTTCAAGGTAAATTAAGAAAAAGCAAAAAAAAAACTTCAAAGCCGATGTAAAGTGAATTATTACTTTAAGCTTGAGTTGTAAGGCGGAGCATGATGAATGGAAGGGGATGTGAGGATGGTGTTTATTTTGGCGATCCACAAAGAAAAAAAAAACTCCACATTTTTGTAATACTTTATTTTTCTTCATTTGCACAGGTGGTTCAAGCATATTTCGGACGCAGCCGAACAATACAAGCCCCGTTCAAAGAATGCCAACCAGGAACCAGTTGATGACCCTGCTATTGCAACGTTGCCGCATTCCAACACACGCGAGTCCTTAGAGCTTACTCCTGAACGGCCGCCACCATTTTCGGCCACCGCAACTGTTGTAACAACGCCGCTGGCACCCATGATGCCTGTTCCAGGTTCGGCCGGCGATAGGATCTCCATAACCGGGCAGAACAACGACGTTCAGTTGCGAAACGGCCGGCGAGATAGTACTCCACTAGGTAACAGTGCGTCGACGAGTGACTCTTGTCCGCCATATTACAATATCAAGCAGAGATTGAGTCACAATGAATTGTCGACCAATGGCAATGCAGTCAATCGCACAATGTCAACACGTAGCTGTGGCGATGCCAACCATAACTACAGCAACACTGGGGAAATGCCGGGAGCGAATGGCGTAACTTTACGACATACGCAATCTGCAAGACAGGCTAATGGTTCGCCAGATGAGAGTAATGCTGGAGCTACTGGCAATAAGAGAGACAGTGCAAGTATTGTTTATTCTAATAATTCCAACAATACCCGGACTCTTATGCAGTCGTCGCCGCCCCTAGTGGAACCAACGGCAATACAAATCAGTATAAGTCCAGCGCACACAGCGGAACCGGTGCTAACGTCGGCCGAGAAGCTCAGACGGCTGGATGCTAGTATACGGGATGGTTTGCTGGAAAAACAGAAAATCATATGTGATATGTTCCGCATACCGGTCGAGCATTTCCATGAGATTGTAGACATAGCTGCTATGCCAGAGGCGCCTAAGGACAGCACTGACATTGCGTTGGCCGCATACGCCCAAGTGCAGTCGCTGGCGGAAGTCTTGAATGAGTACATGAAGGTGACACCCGAGCAGGAAGTGTCAGCAGTGTCGACTGCTATATGCGACAAATGTCACGAGAGACAACAACCAAATCGACCCCCCAGACCCCCGTGTTTGAGCAAGCCAATTTCCAGCTCGGATGTTCCTCCGCCATTGCCGCCACCCAATAAACAAACGGCTCAGGCTCAGCAGCAAACACCGGCGCCTCTGGTCACCAAAATTCAGATGTGTGCCTTGGAAGAGACCAACATACACGAAGATGACGATGGATATTGCGAAATAGATGAATTGCGTTTACCAGCCTTACCTCCGTTAACAAAGACAACAACAGCAACAGCAGTGACGACACCTCCATCAAACGCTCCTATTTCCAAGACGACCACTGCAGCTAAAAAGGGATCACCGCCGCCGCCGCTACCACCACCAGCTAGCAGTTGTAAGGCTCCACCGCCTCCGCCTCCGCCACCGCCACCCCCGCCCCCTAAAACTATTGTTGCAGAAACTATCAATGCCGAGGCTATCGCAAATGCATCTACAGAATTAAAAAAACGCCAGAGTACGGTAAGCGCTGACAGCATTCCGGAAGAGTCTGTCGATGAAGTAACACATGCGCTTAAAGATCGACTGGAGAATGAAAAACCTAACGAAAAGCCGGAAAAACAACCAGCCCTTGGGGATGACCTAAATATTGGTGTAGAGCCAGAGGACCAGGAACACATGGAAGACGACCAAGTCCATGCTGCAGAAGAGCCCCAGAGCAGTGTTGATTCCAATGCTCCCCTGGCCACCATAGACGACGAAGAGGATAAGGATGACGATTCGGCAATGCACACAGCCGAATGTGAAAGTATATCCGTGTGTGAAAATTTGCTAAAACACTCGGAGAGCAACGTGAAGGACATCATCACTGAACCAGAAGAATCATCTGTGAACGCTGAACCCCAAAGACAAAACAGCAATGCCACACAGGCAGATGACATTTCCCTGAATAGCGAGCCCATTGAAGTTAATGATGCCTCTGCACAAGTACTGGTGAGTTTTAATTTGCAAAACTTCTTAGGTCATACTTATTAAATAAATGCAATTTTCTCCTTCAGCTTGACGCCGACACAACAAAAGAGAACTTGTCACCATCCAGAGTCGATAGCTCCACACAAACAATGCCACTGGCTGTTTTCCCAGCCGCCAGCAATATGATTCTTCCCATAACCGGAGTTTCTGCTGGCGCTATTGGCGCTGTTGTCGATGGCCATCTGCCAACATTATGTGGACCGAATCGCATTCAACACGCCAATTCTCTAGAATCAAGTGTACCTTGCTATGCTTTAAGCAGTATTGTTAGTTCCCTGAACGCTCAAATTTCTCTATTGTTGGTAAGTGGTACACCGGCGCGTACTGCCGGCTAGAAAACACTTCCTCACATTCAATAATTCTCTATTTTAGCCGAAAATTAATGAACGGGATATGGAACGGGAGCGCCTAAGAAAAGAAAATCAACATTTGCGCGAGCTACTTAATGCGATGCATGAGCGACAGAGAGTTGAATCAAAACTGGTAAGTGCTTGGGCGTCTCTCCACTATGCGCAACGAGGCCACATTGAACCACACATTTCTATTCCTCTTAGGAAACTCCAACCGACGGAACAATAGGTGCAGATTTGCTCGATAACGAAACGGTTGTCCCCTCGCCGACAACACCGACACCCATTAGCGGGGAAGGTGTAGAAGAAGAGCCTCCAGAAAATATAACAGCAATAACCACCACAAACACATGCGCAACCGAGGCGCAAAACTAAGAACTGGCGTATACACGATGAACACGCCCAATCAGACTAGCGTTAAAACATCAAATACAACAGACATTATTTTTGATATAGAACCACCTGCCAATAGAATTGGCCTAAACCCCACTAGGAAACATAGATGTAAACCCGTATATGTATTAAACTCTCCCAACACGGAAACTTTAAATTAAAAAAAAGAATTACACAAAAACACACTAGCTATTAGCTATACCACACTTCTTTTGCCCCCACTAGTTGTCTCCCTCTTTATGTTAATATTCTCCCCCTCTTTCCCTCACCGTAATTACGACTAAGCATATAGAATACTATAATATAATTTTATATCCATATATATATATGTCTCCAACCTATATATACAAACACACACACACACACTCAATGTAACAAATAAATATACAAATTACATGCAAGCTGTGTAAAATATTTAACTAAAAACAAAGCAAACAAATATTAACACATTGGTTTTCGAACTTAGTTTGTAAAACCTACTAATCCCTCATGTCTTATTACAATATACATACACTAAACCTATGCTATAGATCTAATCTAAATTTATATAATTGTATGAGTGTATTTTCTTGCAACGGTGGCAATCATTGTCATCAGTAATAATTAATAAAATAAAAAAAAAAACAAAAAATAGGTTTATTCACAAAAAAATTTGTTTATCTGATTATTAAGTCCTATTCCCAAGGAGAGGTAAGACCCGTTCTCAATCACTTAAACATTTTCCGGAGCACACGTTCGTTGGATTTATATTCACTCTAATTATCCAGACCAAACAATATAAAATCATGTATTCGAAATGTCACTAACATTTTCAAGAAGCTTGAAGCATGTATTTTGAACATAGTTTTTTACTCAAGCGAAATGTGCATCGGCTTCGTTTCGGATGTCAATGTAAATGTATCAAATCAAAGCAATTATTATGTATTTATTGAAGAAAAAAACCAAAGCCCTAGTCGGCAACGCGTTGATAGACTTTTGGGTTTTACCATAACACTGCTGGTGGCGACATATTAAGCAGAAGAAATGCCAATATTCATACAATTATGGAAAATTTATGTGGCAGGAAACAACACATTTACAAATGGGAAACATTTGGAGGCTCTCGATCGATCAATTCGAAGTTTAAAGCCTACCCAATTCACTCCAGAAGATCTCTGGCTACAGCCCATTAAAGTAGCCGAATTTCGGCACCTGGAGCTGGAACCAGATTAGCAGAACGCAAACCATCCCACATGTCTACAACAACAACAACAACAAAGCCAAATAAATGCAACATTTGCTATTTTGTTTTATAAATATAGTTTAATTGATTTTTAATACATGTTTACAGTCAATTAAGTTGCGTTACAAATTATAAAATAGAGGGAGGTCGTAATGCTAAGTTTTTGTTTATTTTTATTATTATTATTTAACATTTCCTAATGATACAGTTGCTACAACTAGATTGGGACATTGTTGATATTTGAATGTCTTCTTATTTAATGTACTACATACAAATATAAATAGTAATTATAATATTAATATCATTTGTTTTTCATAAATAGGGAATTATCTGCTAGTCTTTACACTAGAAGGCAAGTTTCAGAATATACATATAATTTGAGTCTCACACTTCATTTGGGAATCTAGGGATCTGGTCCGGATTCCCACAGTAGACAATATCAAATATTGCATTATAGAATTGTATACTTTAAGGCAGGCAGGTTATTCATTTTGGAGTAGGCACAGGCGTCGTAAATCTTCAGTACAACAAATCTATAAATTAGAGTTTCGTTCGCTAATTAACTTCTTTGGCTTAATTGTCGGTCGAATTGGTCTTTCGTTTGTTTTAAGCAACAACAACGGATATGACATTTACATCACCCTCCTTAGGGTTGGTATTGTCGGAATATTTCGGATACGAGACAGATGTGGCGGTGGCTATAGCAGTCCTGCTGTTGCTACGTAATGGCCTGAGGCGACAGACAGTCCCTTTAAGCATTTTCATTTAGTTTTTGCATGACAGAAAGTGCCCATAATCCCAACCATAAGAAGGGCTTATAAGTTTGGTAGGAATTAAAGCTTAACTTGAGTGGGGGGGGGGGGGGGGGGTAAACCATTTGCAACACACTGGAACCATCAAAGGCTAAATTAAATGTATTCTAATAACGGATGAGTTTTGAACTTGGCTTTTAATAACGTTAGTGGTTTGTACTGGATATCTTCTGTATATGATACAGACTTTTTCGGCTTGACTATGTGGAATAATATGTAGACCCGGAAGATTTGCATTATTTTGTCTATGATTGCTTGGCTATCAGATACCAGGCAAGTGTAAATCTTGTGTGGCAAATAAAGTGGTGGGGGGTGGCTCAGTGATCGGCCAGTTGTGGTATTTACATTTTTGCCAAATCAAATTATATGAATAAAACACGCACAAAATGACTTAAAAAAAATAATATCACAAAAATATATAAAAGATGACTGGGGGACTTGCGCAGAAATCAGACAGGCAGGATAGGTATTGGTATTGTTTAGTAGCTGCACCGTTCGTTCTTTGAAGGATGAAAATGTGATACCTTTACTTTACACTGCGAGGAGTCGGTAATCTTACAACTAAGGTGTGTTGAAACGTGAATTACATCTTTAAAGAACAGTCTTTTTGGTTCCTGGATTTAATCACTCCAGAAGTTTTTTTTTTTTGTTTTGGGGGAGGGATGTCTCAATTCATATATCCACCATGTGGGTGTTGGTGTGGCGCTGGGTGGAACTTGTTAGAGGCTCCAGGCAATTCTCAGTCGGGGGAACGCTTGTGTTCATATTATCACTGATTGATTGCATGCTGGGGGTTCGAATGAACTCCTTATTGTGGCTAGGCGAGCGATTGTTGTTAAACGTTGTATTGTTAGCTTCTATGGCATACAATGAAAGACCCAACATTGGCGAAGCAATTATGTCGTCGCCATCTTCATGCTGGTCAATCGCATTTGTGTCCGCCTTAAAGATTTCGTTTTCGTCCTCTGCTGCTGTTTTGGTTGGGGATGTCTTTGGTTTGGACTTCAATACCGATCCACTTGTTGTGGGTGTCGACGCGTGGGCTGACATTATGGTTACGGAAAAATCTTCCAAACTGCGTTTATTGGCTGCATCCGAACCGGTACCCGAATCTTTACTGGACAAATGGTCCTGTTGCGCATCTGTATCATGTGACGTATTTAAGCCTAAGTATTCCAAAGTCAGATCCTCTTCATCGTCTCTGAGAATCTTTTGACCATTGCGTCCATCTCGAATGCCACGTTGCATGAGAAGTTGATTGGCGTAATTTGGCGTCGTGCTGACAATTAAACAGCTTCGTTGTTCAACCATCGACTGATTGATGTCGTCATCGCATTGATAACGACCGGAGTTCAACTCCAAGGCTGCCAAGCTCCTGGGCCTCTGCTGGCATGGATCTCGATTGGAGCGTATGTAGGTGCGATTGAGTGTGGTCATTTGAGTTTGATCTAAAATAGAGTCTTGGGCGGCAGCTACTCTGGAGCCGCTTCCGGGACCATTTCGTTGTCCAGCGCCCGCGCACAGTTTTCTTTTCTGGTAGAATAGAATGATCCACACTACAAGTGATCCCACCACTATACAAGTCAGCGTGACCAATACCACCCCAATGATAATGATGCGCTGACTAAAATACTCCTTGACCACTATTAGATCCATCTGCATAGTGTAGGTTTTCGAATTGTCAGTGATTTCGCAACGGTAATGTCCAGAGTCAGCTGATTGTGTATTAACTATAATCAACAGTTCCTTTTCAGCGGTGAAATAGAATCGATCTGAGTCAAAAGTTGGCGTTATGTGAAAGGGTTTATTGTCCTTGTACCATTCACGATGCGGTTGATTAAGCTCGAAAGCAAATTCGCTTAGGCACTCAAGAACACTTGATTTGCCCACAGCTATTTCTTTAGTAATGGTGGGAATATAGGGTTGCGGTTTGTCTAAAATTAAAAAAAAAAATAAACATTTAACGTTCAATCAGCTTCAAATAAAGATAAGCACCCTCTATTCTATAGCTCCGACTCAATATCCATGTACAAGTACATCATTAGAACACTTACCATTAACAGACAACGTTGCATTGACTTTGATTTCACCGGCAGGGCTCTCTGCAGTACAGGTGTAAATTCCACTATCGGTCGTCTTTGCATTTGTGATAACGAACGCATTCTCCTCCCTCAATACCTGCAAACGTCGTTCGGTTGCGGCTGGGAAATCGCTCGCACCAAATTTCTGCAAAGCAATTACAGGTGTAGGATCGCCTGTTGCGGAACAAACCAGTCTGGCAGTGTCACCGGAATCAATTGTTAGATTTGATGGAATTTGCAGAAACGAAGGATGAACTATAAGACAAATACATCAGGTAATAATAAATAAGAAACCGCCTGCCTGACTCGGATAGTAAAACTTACTGCCAATGGAAATTTTAAATTTCTGCGAATATGTTGTTCCGAATGCATTAGATACTACGCACTGATATTTGCCAGCCAATTCGTAGGTGACATTGAACAAACGTAAGTAGCCAATTATTGTGGTGTGATTGTTAGATGGATCATTGTAAATCTGCGTGTCTGTGGTGGCATACGAAGCAGTTCCCAAAGACGGGCTGACGAGCGACAAACTACGATCTTTTTCCTTTACATTGCGGTTGTCGTGTCGCCACTTTATCTTTAGCTCATCCGTCGCAGAAAAAGATGCTGCTCTGGGGGAAGTAGCCCGACATTCCATTGTGATGTTAGCTCCCTTTACGGCCAACTGATTTGAAGGCTCGTGGGATATTTTTGGTTTTGGGGTTTCACCTAGGATCAATTATTTCAAGGTTTTTTTAGTTGCAATTTGTCAGCTTATTTCTAGTTCTTACCGCATATTAATTCGTTCTGCTGCAACGACAATAATTCTCGATCAAGCAGGTGTTCGGGGTAGCCACAAACCGCTTGCGAAGACGGCGCTGTCGTCTGCTGGGCAGTTGCTTGCAAGTGTTTCGTAAGCCAACGTTTGAATCCCACAATTTCGCAGTCACAAATGAAATTGAGGGATTTGAATGTCAGCTTTTGAAGGTGCGTCAGGTGATCGAAGGCAGCCATTTGTATCGAGGCTAAGGCGTTCCCTCCCAGATTCAGGGATTCTAAACTAGAAAGGCCACTCAATGACTTGCTGTTGATTTGCTTTAAATTGTTTCCGTACAGGTCCAATTTTTTAAGTTTACGCAACGATTTGAATGGTGGTCCTGCGCCCGGATCCTCTATTATCCATGACAGTTTGTTGCGTCTCAAGTTCAAGTCCTCCAAATTTTTAACGCAGTCGAATGTATTCTCCATTAAATACTGTATTTTGTTATGAGCCAAATTCAAATATTTTAGACGTTGCAGACACTCCAAGTGCTGCGGCTTGAACTCGCTTATATTATTATAGGACAAATCCAGACTCATTAGTGATTGAGTGAACTCCCAGGTGTCCACTTCGATACGAGATATGGAATTGTTTGACAGACTCAAGTGACGCAGTTTCGTCAAATTGAACAAGCCCTGGCGACTTAAAGAGCTTATGCCATTGTGATCCAGCTCAATAGTTTCTATCGATTGCATAACATGGAATACACCATCCTGAAGTATTCGAATATTGTTTGATTTCAGAAAAAGCTTTTGTAACGACGTCAGTCCTCGGAAAGTTGACCAATTGATTTCCAACTGATTATTGTTCAAAGATCTACGAAGACAAACTTCATTAGAGACATGCATTGGCCGATAAGCCCAACTACGATACTCACAGTTTGCGCAATTTACCCATACTTTTAAATACACCACCGGGCAGCGTAGTCAAGTGATTGTTATTTAGTTCAATATCCTGCAGATTTGAAAGATTCTCAAATGCATTCTCTCCTATGCTGGAAATTTCATTGCCATTAAGTATTCTGAAAAATAGAGTAAAGCATTGATCTATGTCCGATAGCAAATGATCTAAGACTAAATTACAAGTGAAGCAGACGGTTTGGGCTTGGAAAGTAATCCGACTCGATGGCATGCAGGTAGTTCTTCGACAAATCCAGAGATTTCAGCTTCGGCAAAGCAGCAAGCGACTCAGAAGAGATCCTTTGTATACGATTATGGGCCAAACTTAGCTGCTTTAGTGAGGTGAGGCCCACAAATACTGGCATCGTTTCCAATTGGTTGCGCTTTAGAACTCTAAACGATTGGACACAAATTAGTCTAAAATAATATCTTTCGGGATTTGCATCACCACTCACAGTTTATTCAAGTCTGGTAAGTTGCGTATTTGCAAAACCGATGTATCGTTCAGTTTATTGCCCAGCAGGTCGCTGCGATAAAAAATGATCAATTTAGTTTTCGAAGTAAAGGAACTATGAAATGGGATTCTTACATGACTTGGACGTAGTTTGGCAACGTCGGAATACGGTCTAAATGTTTTTTTCCACAGTCAAAGTAGTCATTCAGACACTTGCATTCTTTGGGGCAGTCTACATTGTTGTTGGCAATAGGCGACTGCTGGACATTAGGAGCATTTGCGACTGCTGCTGCAGCAAGAGCCCTCCCCACCTTCTCATATTGTTGACCATCGTCGGAAACATAGCCAGTAGTTTCCAAGAGTGTGGCAGCCGAACGTTTCAGAGTCAAAAATTCGGACTCATTCCCGTTTTCTTCGCCACTGTGGTGATTAACATTTCCGCCGTTCCGATGACGAAGGTCGGTAGCATCAAAGTGTTTGTTGGGCACTGACGACTCAGGTTCTGCCATAAAACCCGATTTCGATATATTGTCCAGCTTCAGCAGAGAAAACAACTGTTGTTGTTGCAATTCACGCTGTTGCTTGGGTGAAAATGATTCCGATGACGATGCCAAGGAAGGATTTGGAACAGCACTCAAAGTCGATATACTGCGATATGATTTCATTAGTGGCTCGCCAATGCTTGTACTGCTGTCGGCAACGGCAGCTGCCTCTGAAAGTTTAAAGGTAGCTGGAAAGCATGTCATGACCATAACTAATGCCAGCACGAGTAGAGGGAATTGTTGACACCTACACAGCCACATCCACCAATAGACCTGAGGTCGTTTTAAACCTATCGTTGATTGTGTACAATCTTCGTACGAACAGCATCTTTGACCTAGTGACCACATAATCGGCCGAAGTGTGATACTACGGGATAACGAAGTCGTTGAACGGTTCTTCCTTCGTCGCTTACAGTGTTTGTAAGACTGGAACAACTGCTGTTGTCGCTGTTTGTACTTCCGTTGCATTTGCAACTCATCATCATTGCATTGTGACATTGTAAGTCCGAACATAATTTAGTCCGATCGCCGTTGGCGATTTGTTGCTTTTTTTGTTATTACAAAAACAAAAATTATCACTCAATCATTATCCACATTTTTTTCATTAATTCTGGGTACTGGCATCCTTGAATGATAGATTTCTTCAGGCATATGCTTATGACGCCTGGTTACGAACTGTTACGGAGATCATTCCAATGTTTATAATATCCGCCTAAAAGAGGAATAGCATTAAAATGCATTTCAAATAATTTGTCCAGAGTAAGGCAAAACAAATGGGCTCACTAGTTCTGAAACATTGAAATGCAATTAAAAAATTAAAACCCCCAATTCAAATATTAATTAGCTAACCGAAACGTAGAGGTGGTTTCAAAAAACGACAAAGGTTGCTTGTCCTTTTGGTAGGCAATGATGGGCTAAACCTATTTCTATCCACAATCCATTCGATTATTTTCTCAAACATATACTACAAAGAAGGTAGAGTGATTTAATTTTCAAACAACATTGCAAAAATAAGAAGCGGAATTGTGTTATTGGAAACCGCAAGTTAAAGGATTAGTGTCGATAGATTAGGACATCCAATGCTGTGACTTTAAGTTCAATATACATTTAAACGTCGAACTTTTTAATGTAGAACTCTTTTAGATAAAGAAAGGTATCGGCGATCCTGATAGCCATGAACTTGTAATCCTGCCAGATTTGTTTGCACATAAAAAAAAAAACAAACAATGAAGCGAAACAAATTTAGTTATGTCTATATTTAATTTTTTCATCGCCAGCTCCCTCGCCTCGTCGTCAAGATTCCAGACCCTTGACTTTTTACTGTTCTTCAGATTAAAAAGAGCAGCAACTGGGGCTTCGTTTTTGTTTCTTCATCCGTACATAACTTTTAAAATATGTAACTGGGATTGCGGAAAGGGCACACTAAAAGAAATTTGTTCATATTTGTAGATCAAAGTCGTTAATTTTGCAACATTTTCGCGCACAATTGTATTCATATTTCTTACTTGCTTTTCAGATTGAACGCACAAATATTCATGTTTATCAATGTGTTACCAACGACTATATGCTAGGAAAGTTTCACAAGCACATATGGCATTTGAATGAAGCAACCATCTTCTTTCTGTGTCGCATTGCTATAGCCCCTTTCCATAGCTTGTGACCATGACCACAGCTTTATGAGGTATGTTGGGCATTTAACAATAACAATGCTAGATATTAGTTGTGGTTCTTTTATTCTTTCTTTTGGATTTCTTTATGAACGCTTGTACTTTAAACGTACAATAAATGCAATTATTGAGAAACAAACCCGGCATGTCAACGCCGCACGGAAAAGAAATTCTGTGGACCTGATGTATGTGTGTGTGCGCGCGCGAGCGTTCTAACTTATGTTCTTCATAGTCGCAAAAATCGTCGTGCAGGTCAATTATTGACGATCAAGTTGTCATTGAAAGCCTCCAAAAACTTTGCTTATGAGGAAGAGGTTCTCCCGCAGATTTAATTTAAAATTTGGAAAACACATAGCATTGGTGTTGTTCCTTCGCATTTATTTTCTTTCGACATGCAGCTAATTGTCCATAGGTAGGCAAGCTGGAAATAGTATGTTTCAATGAAACAGCACAACCTTCGCGTCATGAAACGAAATCAAGATTAATGGTAAACGAGTTTAAATACAAGAACCGTAAACAGCATCGTACATTGTAGCTGGTTGGTGTTGTACAGACCAACCGTCTTTAAGCCGCAGACGTTGCTCGGCACAACAATAGCGCTACAACAAAACGACCGACAATAAAATACATAGAACAACACAGATATACTTCACACCTTTGCGAGGATTGTTTTGAGTGTTGAGAATGAACATCAACTACCTGGAAACATCCCAATAGCGAAGAAGCACAAAGCCAGACCAACACTAATAGCAATACTGCTGTATAGGGCAGGCCCAAACTCAGGCACACACACAAATATGTCGTTATGAAAACCAAGTGTTTCTCATCTGACACCTTTGTGCAATATTGTTCTACCATATGCACGTAACATATGTATATGTGTTATATGTGTAAAGCTTAACAATAAATTTGTTGAAACATATTCCTATTCGAGTTTATTATGGGCCCCGATACTGTACGTCGATGCACAAGACAAATGCGAAAGAAAAACATTGATGCAAACATGATCCAAATTTGCCAAATTTGATTTTCAAATTAAAAATATATCTTTTCGTTTTTAATCGACATACAAAGATGGCTGCAACATTATTAACGTGTAACGAGAATAATGGTAGTCCCATTTCCTAAGTCGGATATAATAATCCCTACCCATTAACACAGTAGCACATCAATTTCGCCTGAATTCTCTACTGGGATTAAGTTTTTTGCTGCCATTTTTAACACCATTCCCTTCTTGGAACTTGGAACAGTTCTTCAAGTCCAATTAAAAGCCCCCATTGTTAAGAGTACAAAATTTGCTTTCATTATTTTGTCGCAAAAACTGGTCCTATTACCCATTACCAAGGTAATTATGAAACTACTGTTATTCGTGACATTTCCTTTGAAATTTGGAGAATTCCATATGTAATTCGAAGCATGTCAATAATAATCTGGACTATCAAGTTCCCAAAATTTTTATTCTGTGCTCCTTTGCCCTCAAAAAAATCTTCAACTTTTGCAACTGTTTCTCGAAAATCGTCCCCTCACAACCAAAACACGTAAAACTTAGCGGTGAGTGAGTGGTGTCGGCACTTCACCATTTAAAACGATTGGAACAAAACCATGGGAGGTGCATTTAAAGGAAAACACAGTGTAGACCGACTGCATGCAAATGATGCAACAACCGAGAGTATGTATCTTCCTTGGTTATTTTGACGTCTACGCTAAGGGGTAGTATGGGCGGTAAAGGCGGAAGTAATATGTTTTGCAACTGCGTTCATAGGACAGAGCTCTTAGAAGGCCCGTTTGGACGACGATGTCTTTTATTCAAGTACCGAGGTATGTCATCTCTCCCCTAGATGTTTACCTTTATTGGCGCGTACACTTCCTCTGCTTGTTGACCAACAAACAAATATAAAATATTTATACTTACCATTTGACTTTTCTTCTAATATTCTTTTTTTCATATACTTCACAACCTAACACATTCAAGCGCAGCACACATACACACACTGTTTTCTATTTCTCTATTTCTATTCTAAAGAAGAATCTGTTTTTAATGTGTGCGCAATTGATGCCACATAAAACGAGAAATATATCATTCAATATACATCAAAATTATTGATATCAAACTTTAAGCACTCTCAATAATGCAATGCTTTTTTATTGTATTTTCTTTCGTTTATTTGTCAATTATTTTCCTTTATTTTTTTCTTTGATTAACACACAACAACGACAATTCTTACTAGAGCTGGCAAACAATACATGACACTATCGATAGCATGGATTTATTTTTCTATATCGTTTATCGATGGTGTCGGCGGAGAATGAGAGAATCCAAGAAACTCTGCTGCAAATATGAATGGGGACGGAATTCAAAAGAACACTGCTGCCAATATGGATGGATGCTGGAATGCAAAATGATACAGCCTGATTAACGGTAAAAAATACCGAGAATCATTCGGTAATTCAAACGTTTGAAGCAAATATTCTAAAAGTGGATATCGTGGTTAGGGGTTTCTTAAAAATTCTCGTTTTTTATCAACATTTTGAAATCTCAACAAATGGGCATTGTATCATATGCAATTAGGTAAGTAAATAATGAAGTATTTAACATTGTTTTGTTGTTTAATGAAAACACTAGCTTTTGCGTGACGAAAGAACCTGAACGTGAAAGAGAAACACCAACTCAATGAGGGTTTTAAAATTCTTAATTTGTATTCAATTGAAAAAAAAAACTTAAAAAACACAAATAGAATTGATGGTTCTTATTCGCATTCAGTTTCTTTCGACACACATAAACAGGCCCGAAATAATCGTTGGCTTCGAGTTTCAAGTTGGAAAATCTTCGTATTTACAGCGAATCAATGGCTTCTATCTTAAATCCACAAGGATGGCTTATTTCGTTGTTTTTTTTTTTGGATTTAGATTGACGTTTAGATATATTGCAGCAAAATGGAGAACATAGACATGAAACCATGGCTCAAATTCATTAATTATAAGGAAAGTTTATTTTTTTTACACATTACAATGTTCCTTGAGGGGTGAGTTTATACTCTTTTTAACTGTCACAAAAGATGGTATTGAGATATGAATTGATTTTTTGTTTGTGAATTATTCCAAATATCAACGTTCTTTAATTTTGAATTGCTACAATATATAATCTTTATTTGTCTACGTTTGCGCATAACCCACTCCCTGTTTTTCAACTTTAACCTTCCTCCCGAATCAGCTATATTCTTAAGTTTTTGATTCTTTAACATCGCTCAAAACATATTCAACACAAGCATGGCCCCATATAAAAGAACTTCCAAAAGTAGTTAAATAAAGCATTTCGTGTATTTCAATCATTGTCTATTTTTGCTATTGAAAATTTCTTGACAATTGACCTGTATATACGCCCATCATGCTAGTGGAAATTCGAAACGGTGTTGGAAACTTATAGCTATTAATGATTCCCGCGTTCACATATTGAGTTTTTTTTCCGATTTCTGAATGAAGGTCGCAGTCGATGTGGTTCCATTTATCCGCCTTTCATTATCTGAGGACTTTTCAAGATTATGGGCTTCTATCCTCTTCTAAACTCTAATCTATTTCAAAATTTAGCGTTTGATAGAGAAATATATGTTCTTGGGCCATTTTATTAAAGAACATTTCATGGCGATCGTCCCATGACTGCCGCTTTGGGGGAGGGGGTGATGTATACATTGCTAAATTCACTTAACTCGAAGAAATGTTTACAAATTTCTACATATTGAATTAATTAAATAATTGCAATGAGAGTAGTTCGAATTCGAATGAAAGCAATTAAATGTCAGATACTTCTAAAATATTAACAATTCTAAATATCGATTGCAGGGGTAGTATAAGTAAAACCCATCGTTTTGGTTCTCTATAATTGTTTCTATTATTCGAATTAAATACTACGCCATCGGCCTCTATTTTATACAATTATTACTTTTGAACATCCAATATACCCAAGTTTTGCTCGACATCACAATGCTTGGGGATTATGTCGACGGTAATATGTACGGGCGAATGTCCTCCACATCCAACAGCTTCTCGGGAGCTACATTTTCACCACACATCGGACATTCATTTAGCTCAGACAATATGCTAAGATATATAAAGAAAATATTGAATACAATTGCTTTATGTATATGAATGATGATATACTTTTCCATTTCGGCTCTGAAGCACGGGAAATCGCAAGACGGACACGATGTCATGTGCTGTTTAGTTATGTGTTGGCCAGTCGCTATACAAATTGGTAGAATCGTTTTGCAACTAAAGCAATTAACTTCCATATTCGGCAAATTGGCATCACAGACTGGACACTCCATAGTTTCGTCGTCTATTTCGTCTCGGAAATTCTTGACTCCCTTTGGGGCTTTGCGTACAATCGATTCGATTTTCTTTGCATAACGAGCGTCAATGTTGTTTCTATACTCGGGTCTCATGAGCATGGACGCATACATGAAAGCTGACTTTTTCAAACCAGATCGATGGCATTCAATCACAGTCGATGTGATTATGGGAATAACATCTGGAAGTGAACGAGAATTTAATTCATTCCTACAGAAGAAGAAAGGGGGTGGTGTTTTCTTTTGTACTCACGTTCCGGGAATTGTGATATATTAGCGGCCACCTGGACCAGCAGTTTGGCTGCCAATAAATGATTTCCCAGCTTTACATGTATACGCACTAAGGCATACCGATGTAGCAATATCAGGTTATGCCTCATCTCGGCCGTGACTGAAAGATTGTTTCGCCTTAATTCCTGGTACATGGAGTACAAAAGGTCTCGTGCCAGTTTGTAATTGCCTGAGATCTGCTCCTGATTCGCAATGATAACTGCTGTCTTTGCAGCATCTTTGTAGTGTCGCCTGGCCATGTACAATCTGAAGAGATATCTTGGATCTTTCGGAGACCCGTCGACTTCGCCCAGCAAAAACTCAATCAGCTGAGCAGACAATTGTTCATTGTTCGAGGTAGCAACGCAATCAATAGCCATAGACAGGGCTTGGGATTCCTCATTAGAAAATGCAGATGCTTTGAGAAGGAATCGCAGGGCTTTAGAAAACTCTCGTGCAAGAAAGTAATACTTTCCAGCTAACAGTGTATACTTCTCCCCTTCAAAGTACTGGGCAAGGGCCAAATAATCGCTTGACTTTGCATTTTCATACCTCTCCAGCAGCTCGCCATGCCTCTTGAGTTTGTTGTGCCTCTGGGCAAGAGAGAATGCCTCTTCTACACACCCACATAATACGAGGAATTGCAATGCCTGATCCATGTCACCAATTTTTTGGTAAAATTTCGCCAATAACTTTGCACTTTCCATAGATCTGGACTCTGTTACAATTTCTGAGGCAGAATGTGGATCACAAAGGTGATCCAAGTATATTCGTACACACGCCTCCAAATCGCCTGCTACTCTATAACTTCGGATAGCATCTTCAAATTGGCCATCCGACTCTTTGGCTTTGGCATAGAGACCATGCAACTTCGTCGACTTCACATTCGGCAAAATGTTAGCTATTTTATTCCACATCTTGAGGGAAATATAGTGAGCGCACGCCTCATCATAGTAACCACCGCGTTCATATAACCCGGCTGCCTCGGTAATGTGACCCACGGTGGCCAGCAGTTCAGCGCAATCGAACAACAGCTGTTTGTCGTTTAGTTCAACCGCATACTGAATCTGAAAAAGGTTCCAAGTTTCACATTTAGGATTTTTCAATTGGTTTACGTTTGTATAATTACGCCTCTTCGGAAATCGCCTGCTCTTATAGACGTCCGGGCAATACCCATTTTGCACAAGCGTATGTGATCTTCATACTCGGGTGAGCTGTTAATCAGCTGTTGAATGTCCCCAGTATCCAACAAATCTTCCTTGAATGCCTTTTCATAGTTGTACAGAGCATCTGTGTAATTGCCACTGGTAAATAGGGGGAGAAAAAACCAACAAGTTAGCCTGAAGAATGGAGGGAGGGGATACATCAAATGATTGGTCATACTTAAACTCTAATTGCTGGGCGTATTCTCTTGCGATAAACGGCACTTGATCCGGCTCGTATTTATGAGCCAATAATAAAGCTTGCTCCCATTGCAGCATGTCCCTGCAGATATCTAATGCATCTTTGGTATATGATCCCTTTAGCAAGAATGCTTTGGCTTCTTCGTATTTTTGCAGCAACATGCAACAAAAACCGCTAACCAAGTTGACATCCTCTAGGTAGCGGATGTCCTCCAACACACTTACCATGCCGACGTTGCCAGCTCGACGACATGCTCTCAAGGCTATGAATAAAAAACTAGCGTCGTTACTTGACTTATTATGCAGATTGAAAGAAATTGCATTGCCTACCGATTGTCGGCTCCAAGTCCATCAACGCTTGCTGGACAATTTCCATCCAGCTTCCCTTTAAATTGATCTTTTCACAGGTGTCGAATGCTTCGTTGTACTTTCGTAGATTCAATTGGTTCTTTAAATTATTGGCTTGACTAGATCCCGGAATTACAACATGGGTTGATAGGGTCTGTGTTGCGTACTGCCCACCGTCTATGTACAATACCAGATCGCCATCGCACAGCATTAAGGGAATTTGTGATGGGTTCAGTTTCGTTTCACCTGCTTTCAGTGTATGTCTGCCGTTGACAGAATAGCGCACAAAGACATGTGTGTCAACATTTCTTTCGCTGTACGTAATAAAGTGGTTCGGGCTTGCCAAATCCCACAAACAAAGCTCACATTTTTTCGGAAAGTCCGCTATGACGATTGCTTCTTCGAAGGCTGGCAAAAAAACATAACCTTGTGCGTGGTCATCCATGAATATTAACTTGGTACCCTCCGAGTCGGTGAACAGTTTCGTAATGCCCATGTTGTGTCGAAATGTTGTACACACTTCCCACTTCTCCAAAGAAAAGTAAATGAGGTGACCAATCTGTAGGAGGCGATTTTTGAATGAGGTAACCGAACTTATTATGACATTTCCTAATATATTTATGTACTTACGTCAGTGGCAAATATCAAATATTCTTGTGTTAGGCAGAAGCAAGTTATTACTGTATCGTTGAGGGTGGGTACAGCTGCCGGAAATGTTTGCATTAGTTTATCTTTGACATTAGGGTTGTCGGCTACGATGGCCTGCAGGACTAGCTGGGGCCGACTGTATATGGCGCAATAGTCCGCATTCAGTCGGATATCTTGTATGGATTGTGAAAAATCTCGTTCACTTAAAGGTTCTGGCTTGTCTCCGAGCGTCTTGCCCAGGTCATAAAACCACACATGCTTGTCAACTCCCACCGCCAAATGGTATGGGCCTAGAGCTAAGAATTGAGGTTCCATTTCCAATGCCTGTCGATAGGGAATCGATTTTGACTGCAAAAAGGTAATTTTTATTGGATGAGCCGTGATGTAAGTGCAGTTTTTACAAAGCACAAACCTTCTCTGGCGAATACACATAAATTGAAACCTCTGCCAGACTACTCAGTATCGCAATTCGCGGAGCGGAGACAGCATATTTGCAGGGCAACTTTGTAACGTAAATGTATATAGAACCGGTCACTGTTGTTATTGCCAATAGCTGCCCGTCAGCAGACCAGTCTATCATTTGAACACCCGAATGGTCAGGCACCGTAATAATTTTCTCCGTTTCGTGCAGATTCGTGATCGAGTGAATTTTTATGCTGAAATAAATAAAATTCAATATGGTGGAAAGCTTGCAGTTTGGTTTGTGCAACTCTTTACTTATCATCTCCGCATGAGGCAACAATTTCCAAGGCCGGGCAGTAGGATAGACCCGTCAATAGTTCTTTATGGTTCTTCACCTGCCACAGTTCTTGCCCAATGTCTTTGGGGTGCGTTGATATCGCGACAACGTGACCATTGGAGAAGCCCAATAGAATATATCCATCTCCGAACCATTTATGCTGCAGCAAGGAGCCATAACGACTTTGAAATCCCAATTCGGTGGGCGAGTCAGGTTCTGGTAAATAGTAAAGATACAGAGTCCTTTTGCCAATTATCATGCTAATTGCATTGTCGCCGCTTATGCGGTCATCATTGGCCATTTCTGCGAAATACATGTCACTCGGGACGTCACGCAGTTGGACGACCCGAACGGAATCTCCTTCCTCGTTGCTTAAAGAGAAGGTTTTATCGTCCGAGCCCAGTGCCAGAAGATTCTGGGCAGACCAGGCGCCGCATGTAATTCGCTTTGAGTGTTTCCCCAGAACGGGTATCCTTTTTCCAGTTTTATGGTTGTAAATGGCCAAATTGCCTCGAGCCGTTCCAACTGCCAATATTTGATCCTGCTTTGACCACACCACGCATGACAAGGGATCCCTCAGGCCAGACTCAATTGCAACCTTTTGCAATGTATTTGCATTCCAGATAGTGATAGTCGGCGAAGTAGCCGTAATTATGCCCAATAATTCGCCATCGTTGTCCCAAGCAAATCCCGAGCACAGCCTAAACCAACCAGTACATTCCATTATGATTAAAGTGGGTGATTATGATGATTTATTTCTCACTTACCCCGAGAGTATTATTCTTTCCAAAACTTGACCCTGGCGATTGAATATCGCTACAGATCCGTCATTGCCGGTGGTAGCTAAATACGAACCGTGAGTCTTCTGCCATATAAAATAGACATCGCCCGGTCCGTGGGGTTCCTCATATTTGTAAAGGACTTTTTCGAAAGACATTCTTTCAATGGGTTTTCTTTTAAGCTTAATTCTAATCGACTTGTCGTTGTGCTCCGAGACCATTTAGTTCCTCTTAAACTCTCCTCGGTTCAGTCATCGTCCGGAGTATTCCACAAAATGCTTACTGCCCGAAAATAAAGTCCTTAATTCTATCTATTCATTCTGTACTGCAAAATGCCCATTGGTTTCCATAACAACGGTCCAGCGGGCAGACTATAGCTTCATGTCAAAAGAATTGATACCACGATTAGATGTTATTTTTCGTGTCGGTACATTAATTTTTCCGGAACAAACATCATAAAAAAGGAATGTTGTTGTAAATGGTGTCAAACAAAATCCCTCGCACAAGCTCTCAGCTCAAGGTAGAAAACACTTATTTGACCACAACAAAGCGCAAGTGCCAAAGCTAGTTTTTACACAGCTGATTGTTGATAGAGTCTCAACACTCACCGAGAATGGGTAGCTTGCAGAAGCCATTGTTTTGGAAGACAAACTCGTCGATTTTGTTTTTTTTTTTTTTTCGCAAAGTTTGCATTTTGTTAACCCTTTTGTTTTTCGATTTTCCAATTTTACTCGACCACCAGCGACCGCTCGTACCAAATATAATTGATACAGAATGCATGCTTCATGACCTTTAGAGGGTAAACATATAAACATATTGATCGCAGGAAATATATATTAATATATTTTATTCGCAGTTTTCTACCCTGCAACGATTTGGAAGTGACTCACCCCCTCTCCAAGATGCCAAACTTCTACTTTGTAGCCCCAAGGAAGATAAAAGAAGTGTCGCGCATGGTAGACGAGTACGAGGGCAGTTCGGAAACTTCTTTGCCTGTACAAAAAGCGGGGTATAAGCAGAAAAAATTAAGTGTTTGGGAAATTTCCATCTCTGTTATGAACACATGTTAAATTTTGTTTCCATCTGGCAACTCCTTCATATAGAAACAGGCGTTCAAAGAAAGACGCATCCGCAATTTTTTTTTTACAATGGAAAAATTAGAAATGCGATTTGCGTCATTAAATATTAACATAATAAAGGTTTATCGGGACAAGAAAATCCTAAGATATGGTGAATGTGCTAGGTGAAAGTGCTCCTCCATATGCAACAGCAGCGTACGAAACTAAGCTTCATCAAACGTTTGCAATCCTTTCGTTTTGTATTTTTTCGAAGTACGAAACCAAACAAAACCGATATTAAGATAAGGGGACAAGTTAGCTATTTTTGACTGTTTGTGTAGATGAGTGGAAACAAAAACAAAACTGAAATGTACTCTGTTGGATGACGCAACATTGGAAACGAAACAGCACAAAACAAAGTAATATTAAGATAAAATCATTCCAATCAAAAACAGTATTAAGAATAACAATCCTCAATGCACCACTTATCATTTCACACTGCAAACGTTTCCCGGCGATTCGTTCGCAAACGATACAGCTCGGCAATTCATAGCCGAAGTACATTAAGGCAATCGTTTTGTTTGTGTACTTCTGCCATTGAAATGTTTGTGGTATTGTTGTGTTCGGAGTACAAAACGATTGAATTTTTTTTTAAAGTTTGTGTCTTCATGAGAGTGGTATGTTAATCGTTTTGTTTGTTTCCGTCCCCTGTGCAACAGTAAACAATTGGGTTGCTGAATTAAAACGTGGTCGTACAAGCATTGAAGATTCAGAGCACTAGGTGTGTCTGGTTAAACTGCAATTTGTAACAAATGTTACAAATTGTTACTGGAAGTCGTCTGTAAACCCGAAAGTTCTGCAAAAGAGAGCGGTTGGAGAGAGAAATTTTGACAGTTCTTTCAGTGAGAGTTTGCAAATTCTTGCTGGACAAATTTCTTCTTCCAATCTCTTGCAACTCGTCTTCTTCTCATTCATCGACATTCGATCAGATGATTTCTATTGTTTATTTATTTCTTTTTGTGCTTTTAATTTGAAAATATTGTTTTGGAATTAACAAGACTAATTGTTTTTGGAGAACAACTTTACAAAATGTGAAAAACATAAATATTAATATGTAATAAGAAAATAAAAGACTATTTCCAACATTTTTAGACAAATGCCATTAGCAACATGTTTAAAGGATTCCGCGGAACACATCAAATCTATCTTCTTTTTATTCCTCATATTTTTATTTTATTGTCAATTTACTTTTTATTTATAAAACTTGTGGAATTGGTGGTGGTTCCTTTCGTTTAATTCTTTTAATGGGGGACAGATTGGTTTGTTTTGACAAATCAGCTGATTAGTTGCAAGCTTCTGCAGGAATACCGTCCGTTTACTTTTCGAAATTTCCTTGCAAAAGAGAATAAAACTACCTTACTCTCTCAGAAAGATGTTGCTGGACAATTCCTGCAGCAAAAGTAACCAGACACACCTACTATTGCAACCTTTTGGATCAATTAAATGTACAAATTCGAGAAAAATGTCCTGGCTTCCAACACAAAAAAATATTTTTCATCAAGACAACGCACTAAAATTAACGAATTAAAGTACGAGTTGCTTGAACACCACCCTTATTCTCCTGATTTATTAAGTTTTTCGTATTTTTTTTTTTTTTTTTGTGCGAATTGCACATTAGCCTACTGGTTATGTAGAAGGCACTTCGTGTGCCCTTCATTTGAATGTGTCATTCGGCTCACACATCTCCGTAGAGCTTTTGGGACAACCAAAAAAAGGATTCCAGGATTCCCATAAGGATAACGATTCAGTATTTTTTTTTTTTTTTTTTTTTTTTGATTTGACATTTTGATAGCAAACACAATGAGTGCTTATGTTTCTCTTTTTTCAGTAGAGGATCTAGTAGTATGGGCGTTTATAAATATGTAGGCTAGCACTGAAACGTTTCAAAGAAACCTTTTAAAAATGCAAATCAATGTTGTTTATGAAATTTTTATTCTACTTACAAATTTTATTTTTTACAAATGCTATAAACAAGTAAAAAAAATACCAAGTTAAGAGATGTAAGGAAAATGTACATATAAATTACATTCAGTTTCTAATTTAGGCAATCGTCGGATATGAATCGGAAACATGTAAATTTTGATTGACAGCATGAATTGATGGTATATGGCATCAGTCGCCACGAGTAATTACCATTGTCGTGCAATGCGGACAACATAAGATAAAAGCGAACGCGTAGGAAAGAATAACATAACATAAAAACAGTCTGCTGGCCAATGTTACTGCCAAGTCCTCAACGTATTGCTAACGTCGTTTTGTATTTCGTCCCATAGGGAGCGAGTTAGCTATTTTTATTAGTGAATATTTTGGTGTAAAATCAGGTCTAAATTCTATTCGAGCATTGGTTACAATTTCATTTTTGATACATATATACACTTATATACACAATGGAACATTCTTAAAAAGTTAGTTAGTACAAGTAGTTTTATTTGTAATAATAAATAGTTTTAAATTATCTAATTGTAGTTATGTTGTTGGAGGGATTTGGTTGAGCGTTGTCTTATTGCTACGATGATGTGAAGTTGTACCTGCGCATCGATCGGGCTGGGGTAACTAATTCGACCTTTATATTTGCGGTGGCAGTTACTTTCGTGGAGTTTGAGTCGGAGTGATGCGTTTCGACTGTAACTTCCGGTTGTACAACGATGCTTTGTAGTTCGGGTGGAAAGTTCTCCATGCCGACATTGCTTTCATGCACATTCGAGCCATGAGCTTGATGCGAACCGACCGAGGATGCGTTATTCGGGGTCGTGGTGGACGAACAAGGCGGCGGTGGTTGTGGTGGTGGTTGTTGTTGGTTGTGATGGTATTGGGGTGGTGCTTGTGGTGGCGTTGTGTGATGAGGATTGTAAGCTGTCGGCTGATTGTAGTGGTAACGATGTTGCTGTTGCTGCGCATTTCCTGAGTGTTGGCGCATGTAATTCGGCGGAGCATCCCTTGGCGTGCCGGATGCGGATGCATGGTGGTAGTTGAGATTGTTTGCGTAATTGATATTGTTGCCATAATGTCCCCCATTCGTGGCAGCCCACTCATTGTTCATCGGAATTGACGAGTTGGATGATTTCCAAGAGGGTGGCTCCTCGGTAATTGTTGTCAGCGAGGGGTCATTGTTGTCCTTATAATTATAATGGGGTTTCTGACAAGTACGTGACGAAGATCGCATCGAACCCATTGCGATATTCTTACTCGTTCTTTTGCCGTTCCGAGACATTTGCGGTGATGGCGTGGAAATGCGATCTGGGTGTTCCAGTGGTATGAGTTCCGATGCTGGTCCAACCATGCTCAATACAATGGGATACATGACCAAACTGTTGAATGCCCCTACGCAAAGTACAGCTAAGAGAAGCCAAAAGAAGTGGCGGATGACAAACTCAAATGGGGAGGTAGATAACATGAAGACGGCCAGTGTCGATGTAAGGATTCCATGTGTTAACGGTCCCAAGGTAACCTGCATGGAAAGTAGAACACGCCGTTCCCGATTTCCAACAGAAGTTAGAAATCCCTGCAAAGTAAGTAAAAATGTATTCAATTAGAATCGACTCAAGAGCTGACTTGGCAATTTTTGAGAGAATGGATGGATGCTTACCAAAGTTATATGAACGGTGAAACAAAGCATCATGCCCACACTTAGTATAAGAATAACAGCGGGTAATGCCGACAACTTGATTCCCAATATCGCCATAATTCCGAAAATTTGTGCCAGAGATGCCAAAACACTCAGTATAACCAATACAGCCGCCCATATCGACAGCAGAAGAATGCAGACTAGAACAAAAGCCACAACAACACAACACGACAAAATCATGGCCAAGGAGGACCTCAAGGTCATGTATTGTTCCCAGAATATAAATGGAATGCCTGAACAAAGAAGAAAGAATGGGAATCGATTGCGTTGAAACCTCAATCCTAGATTAATCTATCACTCATTTGAATCTTACCAGATGGATAGTTAGGCAAGCCTCTCGACTCAAAGCGCATGCTCAACTCCCGGATGTGGCCGATTAATGACTTTATTTCAGATGTATCCGTTAAGCCATGCAGATAAAATGGCAACTGCGAATACACAAGAGGCAGCGATTTCGGTATCTTCAAGTCGGTTTCCGTTGGAACATGATAATATTGGCGCGGCTCCGGATGCAATTTAGCCTGAAAGGAAGACGTTATTAGAGCATTTTGTTTCCAACTACTTACAACGCGAATACATACCTGCGAAGCACCATACGCAAACACGTCGTTTGTCGCCCATGCCGATAGGTAGTTGTAGAACGCTTTGGGATTAATTATTCCCTCGTTGTCGACTAAACGATGTTGTACTACCAATGACTTGTCGACCGGATTGTCCACATGACCCGTCTGCACCAGAAGCTTGTAGGCTAGTATCGCGTCGCTGGTAGCATTAGGATGCCAACCCTCTTGATTGATGCAGCCTTCTTTGAATTCGCGATCGAATATTTTCTGCAAATTTCTCAACCAATCCCGAAAGAGAGACAGCCAAAAGTCGGGTAGGCCACCATTGTCATTCTTAATAACGTGGGGTACACGAACAAAGGCTTCGTGGTATTCGTGCAGAAGACGTTGATTGTTGGGATACTCGAAGTTTCCCTGCGTGACGGCGTACATGCTGTAGAAACCGAACATCGACGTTTGAGCATTCAGGAACTTGTATTCGTTTGTGTCCTTGGGCACCAAATCTATCAAATCCAAACCATCTTGCAGCTTTGTTGAGGCGTACAGACTAAAGATGACCGTACCCACAAACGATGTAATAACAATGAATTTAATCCAGCTCTTCATGAGGAAGGGCGTATAGTATTTCACGGCAAATTTAGCAAGCGAGAAGGAAGGTAAGTTTTTCTCTGCGGAGCAGGACAGCAAGGCTTCTTCTTGTCTTGCAGCGTTGACTGTAGGCGACGTCGGTCGGCCGTTTTTACAGACTTTATTTTGTATGGTCGCTGACCCTCTTAAACTGCCTCGTGAATTCTTCAAGGGATTATTATTTTGGATCTGTTGAAAGGGATTGACTGGTTGTTCTTTCCATATGGGAAAACAACAACACGAAATATCCGCACGGCCAGCAGTCCGTCTTCGCAGATCTAGCGATATCATGGCTGGGAACACCAGCAAGGCCGCAGCCAGATTGAAACACATAACAATTGCCGCCTGAAGGCAGAAAACTTTCAGGGCAGGCACCGGTATAAAGGCAGCCGCGAAAAACGCTCCTGTAGTAGAACAAGAGCTAAACAGTATGCTGGGACCCACTTTCTTGAGAATATATTTAGTTTGCTCCTTGCGATTGCTTTCTGCATACGCAGAAGTAAGCATGAATATATGATCAACTCCAAGTCCCAATGCCAAAAAGGGCACAACTTGTGTGCTGGCCGCATTGAAGACAATGCCCAATATGGCGCACAAGCCCAATCCCGCAGCTGTTGAAAAGCCAATCAATAATACGCCAGCTACTCCGACGCTGGACTGTCCCTTCACTGGGTCTCGCCAACGAATGAGTGTGCAGAATGCATAGCTAACGGTAGCAATAACTCCAATTAGAATACTCAAAGGTTTGGGGTTCGAGAACTTCTCTAAAATGTCGTCCAAAGTGGCGGACGAAAACACATAAACGTTGTACTTCTTGGACATGCTAGCGCCGGTCATAATGTTTTCGACTTCTTTGGAAAAATTTCGTTGCCAGGCAGTTAAGACCTCTGCCGCCTTCTCCGGGGTCCAGCTAATGTGATGGACTTTGTAGTTTTCATTCCAGAAGTCAAACAGTTCCTTCTCCGTCATCAGCTGCACCACAGTCTGAATACCCTTGGCCCTTTTCAAGTGGCCGGTGCGATTTCGTTGCACACCACCCACGATCAACTCCTCCGGCCAATGCATGTATTTGGCGGCAAATCCGTAGCAGCCCCCAGTCAGTATTCCACCAACATCCAAGGGAAAATCACTGTTTTTGTTCGGTGCAGTTTCGGGACACTGAGGGTTTTTGGGATCCAGACATGGCTTTTCGGTGTAACCTGATGAAATTGCCGCACGCTTCATGTACTGTTCGATCGTGTCAAAGTCGAAGGGTATAGTTTGATCACTCATTTGTTTCTTCATGGACTGCATCAGTTTTGAGGGATTAAGTGTGCTCCAGGTAATGCGTTCGTCCATACTCCTAAAAAGCGATGACCTAATCAATGTGGTGTCCAGCTTGTGTGGAAAATTAAAGAAAATACTTACGGAATTTGAACGGGAAAGTCTGGTCCCAGCAGCTGACTCCCCTCCCAGAAACAATCTAATGGCGTTATTATGGAACACGGAATAAGATGCTTTAGGATCTGTTCTATGTAATAAGGACCTTCAAAACTCGGAGTAGTTGGCGAATTGCACATGTCCCTAAGACTCCAATCTGTGTCGAACATGTGTATCTTAACGGCCGTTGCTTTCTTTAGCACCTCGAGATGCGTCAGCAGTGCTTGCGGATGAAGAACCGATGCGTTCGGATCGTGACCCGTCTGTATAAGCAATTGGTGTGTTGAACTCTCCGACTCTCCTATGGTCTTCTGTGTGTACGCCAGCTCGGTCTCGAGTCGTCCGCCCTCCTGTATCCAAAGCTGGTGGACTTTCGAATGGATTTGCACACTTTTGAGGCCAACGCAGAATGTGCTTAATACTAGAATTGCCACAAATAGAACCTTGCCGGCATGCTTTTGCACCGAGCTGCCCAGAGATTCGAAGTGTGATTGAAATACTGAACGTAGGTAAATGGATGTACGGTTTCCGCGGGCTTTACCCTGAAAAGACAAAAACAACAAAATGCGAATGTCAAATGCCAGTTTAAAGAGTCAAAGCAAACGGGTGCTTGGGATCTATTGGATGATCTTGAAAAGAAATGCGGATATACGCGTGGATTCAATAAGTGTTTGGCAAAGCTGGCCATATTTCCAAGATTCAAACTCGCAAAATTCGATTAATTTAAATTTGGCTTGGAGGCAGTTGTTTGTATTTGAATACATATTTATGTATGTAGCGAGGTCATCTTTCTGGTCTAATTTACAAATGAAAATTGTGACGAACTCTAAATTGAAATGTACCCTTAAGACATAATGTCGGATCTGTCCACTCAATGTGAAATCCTTGGTGGATTTTAATGAAGACATTTAGAAAACAAAAAGCGAAACATTAACAATTTTGATAAGCAATGCGATAACGATTGCAGGTAGAGCAGGGAATTGAAGAACTCGACTGAAAGGACTTTTACATTTAACGCTAATGAAATTTGCGTCGTGCTGGGTTCATGGCATTGGTATTTGTGATGGACGTGCAATTTCTTAAAAATCACCGCGGGAGATTTCTAAGATAATGGCCGTATGAAGTCAGTGGAAATCAGCGATCAGCCAATGTAATGGGTGCGCGCCGGATTGCTGGTGCCCGTTGATTATTCTTGGAACTTCTGAGAGTAATAGTAGCCTCTACTCGTCAAATAGATTAAAACGATGTGTTAACACCTTTATGGCACTTCTGTAGCCATGTGTCAATGTCGTGGAAGAAATTCCAAGTATTTTCAAATGTCCTGCTGCGACGTTGAGTTGGGAAAACGGCTATGTCCTTGATGACGTGCCGTTAGGGATAGACAACACGTACACACGCGACTAACACAAGGGACTATTTCCAGTGAGCGTTAGCATGTCCCTAAATAATCATAAGGATTGTTTCTTAAACTGATCTATGTATGTGCGTACGAACTAATCCGAGTATCTTTAAATATGGCGATGCGTAAAATTCCAACTCTCTGATGTTTTATCCTATTAAGAGTTTATTGAAATTTTTAACTTTTATGGGGCCAGATATTTTACATCTTCGTGGCTAAGTAATGTGCCTAAATAATTGATGATATCCTTTTAATAAAAAACTACCACATAAATACATACACACATATTCATTTGGAATACGAGATGCTAATAACCAACCAGGCGAATGTCGTCCATTCTCACAGTTGTTGTAGGACACCCAAGAAGATGTGTTGGTCTATACAAACATAAATATGTATGGATGTAAATAAACATGTGTTCCACAACGAAACACACACACACAGCAACTCAAACGAACGTAGTATGTGTGAAAGGTAAGCGTTTGTGTGCATCTGCGTGAACAAGGAGCAATAACAGCTGCTCGTTCTTCTGCCTTGATCTTTAGATCAAACGGGCGATACGGGTCATGTTGAAGAACATGCTTAAGGAACACATGCAAGACGATATTATCACATCCTTCTTCACCAAGATTCATTAGAAGCTGTGTGGTTTGCCATCAACAATGCCGTTCCATTTAAATATACTACATAGAATTACAGTTTCATTCCCGCTGATAAGGTAGGAAGATGTGTGTGTCCCAAGGGACTAGGGACTCGATTACTTTGCACGAAGGTCTTGGCGACCATCTGAAAGAGTAACAAGCACGGCCAATATGAATCAAAGCTTTGTTAAGAATTAACTGAACTGTAACACCTCAATCCAGTTCCCCAATGCTCTGTGAAGTTGTATTTTGTAATCGAAAATAATCGCGGAATCACCGAAATATACAGCCTCCCTTAATTTTTTGGAATGCTGCTGACAGCAGCCATACAGGTAGATACGTACTAGAACGATGTGTGTGTTTGGGTATAATTGTGGACAGGTAATGTCTTCATCCGCACACAACACAAGATCAGTCCGTTACGGCTGTAGAAATGACCTGTATTTGTGCTTCTTTCCGGTCGCACAGAGATCATACATGAATGTACCTAGAATAGCCGGTTGTTTTTTCTTTTTTTGAAGATGAACGCACCGAGGGGTCTTGCTAATGTCTTTATTCCAACTTTATTTCTCCAAAATGTGTTTCAATATCGATGTAATAACAGAGAGAGAGAGAGAGAAAGACATAGAGATTGGAGAGAGAACAAATAAATTGTTTTCTGTTTTTCAATTATCAGCGGAAGAAGGAAATGCAATTTTTGTATTTAGCCGAGAAGGCCAATAAGGGATATTCTCTTGAACATGACAAAAGGGTCGGCATCTGTTTGATATTCAATTTTGCTATTTGGTGATGTCTGCCCGCAATAGTTTCTGTCTTAATAATATGAACTAAATAAGAGAGATCACCAGTGTGTTGCCTGCCAAGACGACGATGATATAACACAAAAGCCATACAGAATGGAACCCACCAACCATATGTACATGGGTACATGTGTACATCCACACAAATGCGACACTTCACGGCAACGATGCCGCCATCAGTGCTCCAGCCGCATTAAAACTGCTATAAATTTGAACATCTACTGTGGCTGTGGGTCGTGCATGCCTCATAGCCGAAAGAGACAGGTCCACGACGACAACAAAGAGAACGGAGACAGCAGCGCTTGTGGTGGTGGAGGCCTTTGTAACGGCGGCGCAGAGTACAAATGGTCGACAGAACGAATGCACCAATCCACAGCTGTAGTCTCTATGGGTGGCCACAGTCGCCTTACAGTTTTGCCGCGGCAATTTCTCGCAGTCAGTCAAGTCAGCTTATGTTTGACGGTTTTCATTTAATGTAAACAAACGAAAAGAAAACAACAAACAACAACAACAGATAGTGTAGTATGCGGGCATGTATGCGTGAGCATTCCGTCTACCACCAGAAACAGATTCAAATATTTTCTTATTTACTTTGCAAACTTCATAGAAATAACATCTCGCTCCCAAATTACACTCGAGTACGACCGAGCATGTCGAGGCTACATCCATACATGCCTGCAGTGGGCCTGACCCCGACTCTCCCTATTTGGGGAGTTGACAACTTCCCGACAAAATTTTATAGACTCAAGAAAAGAAAAGAGTATTGGCCCAGTTTTATCCAAATCAATCAGCAGATGAGAGATTTGTCTCCATGCATTTTGAAGGCAACACACCGACATGCCATGCCCCCCTTCAGAATACACCGAGTCCGTCCGTGTGCCGTAAAGTTGTTACACTAACGACGATCATTCATTTTATTTATTTCATTCTCCGTCTTCCTTTTTGTTATGGATACTGTTGTCTGATCTACCAGGTCCAGATGCCCGATGCCCCTTTTCAGTTGAGAGGGGCCAGAAAACAAAACAAAAACAAGAATTTGTGAACACACACATGTACACATTTACCGATTCGGGTTCGTCGTCATCGTCGTAGTACTCTGCGATGATCAAATGTAGAAAATCCAAGGTTTATTCTTTAGTTATTGTTGTTTTTGTGCCTGCCAATCCACACTAAAGAAGTTTCGCTTTAGGGCTGGACTAAAGACGATGACGACGACGTTGACGATGATGATGAAGATGCTGGCGTTGTATTGCGGTCATTGTGTTGTTGCTGTTGTTATTATTGTTGTCTTTGCTGTTGTTGTTTCTACGGTGCCATAATGGTTTTGTTACTGCTGAAATGCTTTGAATGGGTTCGTTTGTGGCCGATTCCAACGATACATCTTGCTCTGCGGTCGGCTGGTTTGTTGGCTGTCTGTCTGTCTGTCTCTACGTCCGTCCGGCCATCCATCTACCTTACCACCGTCGTTGAATGCCTGTGTGTGTTCGCTTGTTTCAACGTTTTTAATGTCTTCATTATTTTCGATTTACGTTTACGTCTGTATTTTATGCCCAGCGATGATGTTATTGTTTTTCTCTTTTTTGTTGTTACTTTTGTCTTAGCCACTACGGTTGGGACAGGCCGTATGCTATGTTAGTCACCGCATTTGTCGCATTTGTAACTTAATCGGACCATTTGGCTATGCCAGTTCACAATGCAAGCTATTGCTAGCAAAATTCGAAAATTGTAAAGTGCCAATGGGGTCGCTCCTAAGGATTAGAATTTTTAGATAATATTTTTTTACCAGGCTGATTAGTTGAGATACGTTTCAATAAAATGAAATTACTGAAATGTTCCGTTTTGAAATAAAAATAATTTGTTTAGTTTTATTTCGTAACTTCTTCTTCAGTAAAAAATTGTAAATCCCAGTAACTCGTTTACTGGACGTTGGAATATCAAACAACACTCGTTAATGATTTGTACAAAATATTTGAAATTATTGCCTTATCGTCCACACTTTTTATTAAGAAAAATAAAACATTAGTGGAAACATTGAATTTAAAAGAGGTGTAATAACTATTATAATAACAAATGTTCACCAGGATCTTATCAAAATATAAAAGAACTCGTTGAAAACTGAAATCTGCTCGATCTATGACGTTGGACTGGCTGACATCTTCAAAAATTGTCATTATCAAGTATTTGTCAATGTCGGATCAGTTTGCTGCGAAGGTGGCATACAACACCCTTTTCAGTTGTATATATTTTCCATTTAAAGATAACTATTTCCCAAAAACATATGCTGCAGGAATTTAAAAATTCGTTCAAACAAATTTCTATCGAAAAAATTGGAGGATGTGCATTTTAGATGGATGAAAAGGTACATTTCGGCAGTTGTTTTTATCTGCGGAATAGCGCACTCAACATTTCGACTATACCGCCGACATACAATTATCGTTTCGCCATCAAAGCTCTTCTGGGTGTTCCTTTTTTTAACAGCGAAGCAGCTGATACAAAGAAACCAACAACACCATTGTTGCCAGTGTTGTTTTTTGTTGTAGAATTTAGAGGAAATACGGAAATACTATCTTCAAAATAACGTTTTGTAATAGATCAATATTAACAGACATTGATTTAATACAAAACGTTGTTTTGAAGATTGTATTTCCGTTGTCACGAGCAACAACGCACTCTTCAAAGGGTGATATGGAGGGATGGAGGGATGGAGGGTAGAGGCACCACCTTCCTGCGACATTAGCAAAGTCATTATTTTACAAAATGAAATTGTTTTTGTGTCAAATAGACAAGAAATAGTTTTGAAATATGGCGAATACCAAACTCTATGTTGTTAGCATTTCGATTTTGTTTTTATTTAAACAAAATCAAAAAATTGAAAAAAAAAAATGGACACACAATTTAGACCCTTAATGCGACAGAATATCCACCAACTCCAAGTTGAAATTGCATAAAAAGTAATTTGTTTCTATAATAGGAATTAGACAGGGTAGGATTATAGGGCAATTATAAGTGACAATGAGTTCATGCAAGAACATGTTGCGAATAAATGAAGAAATGTGACACTATGAGATGTTTACACATAGAGGGAGGGATGGACAGGTCGCGAGTATTGTTTTCAAAATATTTTGAATTAAAGTTCGTAACTGCTCTAACAAAACCTAAAGCAAAACATGAGGTGGCATTCAATGATGCTCTTCAAGATGGGATGATTTTGTGCTGTCTTACTTTGTCGATTTGATCCAAAGCTATTTGGGCATCGACCCACGTTGTGCGGATATATAAATCGGAAAATAGCTTTTCGTCGACCACATCTCCGTGTGTGTCGGGGACGCGGGGCAGGGTATCCATTGTGGGCACAACCATATTTTGTTGTGTATTTCCTATCCTCCAAATGATGCCAAGTTTTTATGCATGCGGCATTTGTTCGATCTGTGGATAGGATTGGCCTGTGCTTCCAAACCAGCACGGATGGATGTTTTTGTTCTGTTTTTCTTTTCTTTTCTTTCTTTTTTCACTCCACACAAATGTGTTTTTGTTTAATTTCACTACTTTATCGATCACTTGTATATTTTGTTTTCAATCTTCCGTGGATGGATATTGTTGTGTTTTATCACGTTTTTCATTCCTTGTTTTTCTTTTTTTTTTTTTCTTATTCTCACGTAAAACAATACTTTTGGTTGATCATTTTCTCATTCTCTTTGCGCTCTCCCTCTTCACTTGTAAGCTCTTACTATTTACAGGGAGGTTAGCTAGCACTGCACTCAGAAACTACGGCGTGCTCACTGTGGCTCTTTCCGTTCGACTTTTATTTGATTTCATTTAATTAAAAACAAAAAAAAACACAAAACAAAAAATAAAAACAAATTGTACTTTTCACATTTTAATGGAATGCACAAACATTTCTTTTAGTTCTTGGCCGACCGACTTGATTCCATGGGGCACGAGAAGAGACGAGAAACTATTTTTCAGAAATGTGGCATACCGCGTTGCGTTCACGTTTCGAGTTCTTCCTTTTATTTTTGATTCGGCTATGAGTGTCGCACAATCATACGCTTCAGACCAACGGTATCCTACCCGCACGAAAGATCGTTCCAAACTGAGCAGTTCGCTGAGTGTGCGCGCGTTATTATCGTGGACATATTGTAAACGACTTCAACAACTTCATTAGTGTGTGCTGCTGTCAGTGCCGGAATTCCAATTCAAAGGAAAGTACGTTTGAGGTACATTTTCGTACGCTGGAGTTAAATGCTATTTCGAGTGGGTATGTTTGTTTTGACGAAAATGTGTGTTTCCTAAATGTGCGATGGTAATGGATTTGAATTTTTTATTATAATATTCTCATTCTCCAAGCATTAAGACATGAAATGTACACAAAATTGGCAGAAGTCGGGCACACTTAGAAAAAAAATTGTAATAAGCTGGTAGAGCTCTACCTTACCATTTTATTGTACCAAGAGTATTTCGAGTTTTGGATAAATATTACTTGCATCTAAGACTCATTTCTTAGTAACGGGGAAAATAAGGTATTTTAATTTGTTTTCTGACTAACCCATTATTTGCGACCTACTGCTAAAGCAGATGATAGTTTGTTTTCGTTGCCTTTTATTGGGTCTGTCGCCTCATAGAGGCAGGCGGCAATATTTTCAAAATATTGTACTGTCCATTGAGAGTTCCAACACTGTATTGAGAATTGTTAATTGTGTATCTTGTGCCCATGAGAACATTGGAGATATATCCTCTCCCAGTTTTTGATGTCTCTTTTCCGTCATTTCTGAGATACTTTTATTGAGCTGCTAACATTCATTGTTATTTATACGGCCATTTTGATTTGTCATTTCTGTCTGCCTGAAATTGAGTTGGGAGACTCATTCCTCTCGGAGCAGCAGCGGCAGCAGTCCAGTAGTTGTTTTTTTTTTTGCCTGCCGTTGTGTTGTAAGTGCTGGGAGGACGACTGTTACTGTTTTGCGCTCGGCTGTAAATGAAGTCATTATTTGAATTATGTTAACTCAATTATGTTAACTCCGATGCAGACGTCTATACAATGTAGTGCAGGCACTCTCTTCCTCCCCCATCGCCACTTCGTCACACCTACGCTAGACTAGTTCTTGAAAATCTATGTAAAATTGCTTTTTCATGAATGCCCTACGATGGCAGCAGCAGCAGCAGCAGCAACAACAACAAATGTTATTGGTATGCGGCCAGGTATACCAATAATAAAAACAAGAACCGCCAACAGTATCTACCGATACCACCACCACCATCTCAAATCGTACTCATTTAAGCCACCAACAATAAACATTATGCAAATAAACGCGCAGAAACTATGAAAGCCGGGCGGAAGGATAAACGCAGAGGACGACAAACCAGAAAACAAACTCCGTTTACGATTGCCACCCATATCGCGAAGCACTGATGCCCGGTCGGCTGCTTTTTGCCTCGAACATTATTGATTTCATAAAATGCTTTTATGTGATTCGTAAATTTAGCCAAAGTTCTGTCGCAAATTGAATGATTGGGCTGGAGCAGCTCGTCCCGCAGCACACCGACTTGGTATGGAACTCGACCGTCTCTGCTACATACATGCATACATGCATACTTGTATATGTTGTGATTTCCTCATACGTCCCACTCATCCGTCGCCAGACATGCATGTGCGCGGGCTGATTTCCACATACGGAGAAGCCATCAGATCTGACCAATAAACCCTAATCTAATAAATTTCCCCTGATAGTGTAAAAGGTAGACAACGAAGCTGACGGCTCACCGCCAATTCTTCGTAAACGCCAGCTTTTAACTAAGTGGGTGGTCTCCGGTGGTTTTTTGTCGCTCTGCGGCGATGACTGCCTACCCAGCTATTCGCAACGACTCATAACCACCACAGTGGATTATAGTAGTCACCACACCATTTGCTATTAATTTCCGAATTCATGATGGCGGGTATGCAATGGACCAGTAATCGGAGATCATAAGGTGTAGGGACAATTTGCAAAAGAAAATAGAAAAAGGAGAAGACTGTAACTCCTAACACTCATCTCTACCGTTTAGGTAAACATTTTAAACATTTAGCAAAGTTTAGTACCCGCCGAGATCTCGAAATTCAGGCTCATGGTACAATTACGGCTGAACCCACCTAATTTGACTCCAAAGTATTGAATTCGGCCATCGGTATATATTCTGTACATGCAACAGTTCGTACTTTTCTAGTAGAAATTGCTCAGCAACGTGTACTGGGAGTATTTTAACTCTCACATGCAATTATTGCAATAAGTTGCTAAAACTTTCCAGGAAAAATCAGTTTTGAAATATGTTGACGACACACTATGAAATTGTTGAGATAATCGGATCAAATTGTAATTTTTATATTGAATTATATTGAAAAATTAACAATTTGAATCAAAAATGAACTATTCAAATTCAAACATTTTGAACAGTTTCCCGGAGAACATTTTCCCACTCTCAATAAGCCAACTGTCAAAATGCTCTCTTCACTCGCTCTCACTTACTGACTTTTGGGTTATTGAACACCAATTTGTAATGATTCGTACACACTAGTGGGTTATCGTAAACATCTAATTTCCCTTCAGTGGCATGTGGCGAAAATTGACCTAATGTATGTGCATGTGATTAGATTTCAATTGAAAAGGTTCCGTGACGTTATTCCGCAGCTGGAAACTATACCTTCAGAGTAATGAGATGAAAGCATAAATGTTTTGATTCAACATTTATATATTAATCGAATTAAAAATAAAATGATTGGAAAAGTTTTTTTTAACATTTAAAAACATAAGTGCATGTGATTGGTGTTAGCATGTATTTGGTGTAGGCTCGTCTTTACCTTGTGATTTCAAGGGAATTCTTGGCGTATTTCACGCCGATTGTTTCACTGTGCTATGTGTTGTGGCGGCTCTGTGTGATGCACGGGTGCCTTTCTTGTGCCTTGGCAAATTTGTTAACATTGTACATGTTTGTTTTGAGTTTCTTTTTCGTTGTTGTTTTTGGTGGATTGCTGATGCCAAAGTCGTTTGGGTGGTAAAGCAGTTGACTGTTAACTGTTGCCAATATCGACTTGTTACTGTTGGGGTATGGTTATGTTCCTTGTTGTACACCATGTCGAGGCTCAAAACCCAAATCGACTCATGATCGGATGTTTTAGTACAAATTTTCAAGTTGTCAAAGACAAAAGTTAACCAAAAAAAATGTATTCTTGGTTCTTAAATAGGAGCTGACCTGGGAACAACCAGGGAACTCCATACAAAATTGTAATGTTTCAGCCGTAGAATGCCTCTGAAAGCTTCAGCAGAAAGAAATCGCTGACTGTATTAAACCACGGAAATCAATGGTAACATTTTCTAGGACATTAATGTCAATTAGAATTTTTCAAGGGCCAAAAACCAAACAACCTTAAGAAATGTTAGACAACACAAATATTGTTCTTTCTTGGAAACGCCAAATACAGGGTCATGACTAGACCGGAAATGCCTGATATGTGTGAAACCGAGAGACTAAATTTCAACTACCCGTGAAAAGATCAGTTTCGAATGACCCTTGAAACGGTGTAAACTCGTGCCGAGGGGAATTATATTGGCAACGGGAATAATATTTATGTTAAGTGTGCATGGTCCATAGTCTGTTGAAGAAATTTTTATACACACATGCACACGAAATGCTGTGTGTGTGTGTGTGTGTGCGTGTGGATACAGTTGAGTTGAGAAAACATTGCATTAATATTATTCCGATTCTTTAAATTATTTTTTTCCTCCACATTAGTTTTTTTTTGCTACAACATTTTGAGCTAATTTAGAATTTCCTCATCCTAAGGGTATATTCAAACACACAAGGTTTGCCCACTATACTCTAAGCGTACCTTTAGTCTTTGAACGTAAAGTCGTATTCCAGAATTTCAGATAAAAATGTCGGAAGTTTTCAAAATGTGCTTTTATTTCGATCACAGCTGTGCTCTTTTGAAGTTCGCACTGCAGCGTCGTATGCCACACACGACGTCGTTGAGACATTAACTGTAGGAGAGTTGTCGCCAACGGAACCGACAGTCCTAACAACTTTTCTCTTTTATTGAACAACGGAACGACGATTTCGATCTATGGATGTAAGAGAGATTTCCTCAAATCAGACACTCTCAAAAGTTGTGGAAGTCAACACATTCTCGCTTTTGTAGCACCGAAATAACCGTACTCCGAATTCAAACTCGGCATTACGCAGTTCGTACGTAGCAAATGCATGAAATTCGTAATCGTCGTCATAAGACTATGGACGGACTTCACATCGTCTTCCGACGTATTTTAATGGCTTAGCCACCATATTGTTGTTATTGTTTGTAGCAAAGCTGTTCGCTGCCTCTTTTTGTTTTGTTTCTTGTGTCTGTTTCCTCGTATTGTAATGGCTTGCAGCCGCTGCTGCCCCAGTCGCTGCTTTATAATGTCTTAATTTATAGATTTATGTACGTGCATACATACGTATGTATATATATATATGTACATATGTGTATGACTGTTTGTGATTGCTCTTGTGTGGCTAGATCCGTTGCTGCTGGTATCATTTACTGGACCACCAACAAGCAAGCATACATGACGAATGTATGTAGCCGTTGGCTAGCGGGCTTGGGCTTGTCTTCGAGGGGAAGTGGGATGACGACATTGAGTATACCCAGGAATGAATGACTCTGAAAGAACCTCCAAAAGTATTTGAGGCTTGAATTCTGAAATACCAATACCTACCTACCAAATGCTAATTTGTTCTTGTCGCATTAGCACAGCAATGCTATGGGATTGTTACAGACACATGGACACAAACAAATGCATCCATTTCCCTCCCCTAAAAAGATTTGGTAGACATTATCAAGATTTAATAGATTGGTCGAATCCCAGGGTCTGATGGCAGTATTTTGATGGGAACAATTGGTGGAGGGGTGCTGGAGTGATTTTTAAAGTACACAGCTTTCCCTTTGGACTCAAAAAAACAAGGCCGATCGTTGGCGTTATGTTCGCCATTAGGTGCTCCAATGCTTATGCTCCACTGTAGATGTGCCGACTTCACTTTTTGCAAAGTGTGGCAGCTCTTTTGCAAACGCGGTGGCTC